AACATAACATAGCCTATACAAAAACATAATACAACCAATAAAAAACATAACACAACCAATAAAAATCGTAACATAAGACAAATCAAAACACAACCAATACAAACACATAACACAACCAATACAAAAACATAACACAAAAATACAAAAAACATAATACAATCATTACAAAAACATAACACAGTCAATAAAAATATAACACAACCAATATAGTAACATAACACAGCCAATTAAAAAACAAAATACGACCAATAGAAAAACGTAATACAGTCAATACAAAAACATAACACAATCATTACCAAAACATAACACAACCAATAACATATTTAATACAAAACAATAACACATTCAATACAAAAACATAAACCCACCAACAAAAACATAACACAGCCAACATAACAACACCAACAAAAACATAACACAGCCAATACAAAAAACAGAAGATAACCGATACAAAAACTTAACACAACCAATACAAAAACAGAACATTACCAATACAAAAACTTAACACATTCAATACAAAAACTTACCACAGTAACATACCATTAGTAAAGATCGCAACACCCAATACAAAAACAGAACTCAACAAATACATAACATAACACAACCAATACAAAAACTTAACACAATCAATTCAAAACCATGACACAGCCAATAAAATAACATAAAACAGCCAACAGAAAACTCCACAGTCAACACAAAAACAGAAAATAACGTAACACAACCAGTAAAACATAACACAGCCAATACAAACATAATACAGCAAATAGAAAAAAAAAACATAACACAGCCAATAAAAAAAATAACACACCAATAAAGTAAACCGTCAAAACCAATACATAATCACAACACAGCACAAGAAATACAAAACATAACACAAACAATACAAACACAATACATGCAAAAACATAACAAAGCCAATAAAAAACAAACACAACCAATACAAAAACATAACAGTGTCACTAAGTAAACGCTAGCCTGACTGTAAGACTATACGTTCACAAGCCCCCTCATTCACAAGCTCTTTGATTATGGGAGATTGTGTAGCCGAATGTCCTAAGGCGTGCGTATTAGATTATAAGGTCTGCCATTGCGTCAATTGGTGTGGTTTACATTCTCCGCTTGTACGGGACAACGAGTAGAGTCGCCGGTCCAACCTTGTGGGTTTTCTCCGGTTCTTCCGGTTTCCTACCATAACTAAAGAACCCTACTCGAAAGCGAATTATTGAAATAGAGTTGAACCATGTTAGTCCCGAAATGACCTAGTTTGTGTCGAGTGGACATATTTCCCCCCCCCCTCCCTCTCGCTCTCTTTCATGATATCAACATATCCTTAAACTGATTTTGAGAGTACAAAAAGTCACCAAATCGTATTAGGTAAAACAGCACACAATTATTTGTGACATATTACTACATGTTTCCTTTAAGTTAGAATTATAAATCTGAAAATCACAATAACCAGAAGGTCAGATACTGTATGTATATATTGAATTGTACAAAGGACAAGACAGTATTATATTACATACTGTGTAATATCCGATACGAACCATGAGAAAAGAAAGTTGAGAACATATGTTTGCACCTCACCAGACATTCACAATGTCACTTACTTTCATTCAGATATAAAAACCCCTCGAGATGTGAACCGGTTAAATTTCAAATATTAAATAACACATGTATGTATGTTATTACAATATACAAGCCCGATAGTCATATACGATTAAGAAGTGAAACTACTTGAAAAGAGGTTTAACGTCCTGCTATTCTGCGTCGATTGGGCTAAAGAAGCCAGACATACGCCATATAGTGTGCTCTGAGGGAAATTTTACCCGGACAGTGGTACTACGGTCTACTCTTATCTCGAATTCCAGATGTCAAGGGTCTTTTTACATGCACGGCACACCCGAATGACTATACGTTGTCCATTTCCATTAACAAGGGGAAACCAACCTGGAAAATCCGAGGGAGTGAACCATACTACCATACCCAATAATCAGGGGCTTCAGAAAGGGAACCCTATATCTTGGCCATTATTTTTGGACTCTACTCTCTCGATCATCAAACACACACTTGAAAACGACCATTTGTCTTTCTCGTGTGACCAATTGTTCAGTGTGAATAGTTTGCTATTGTTTTGGTTTAGATGCTTTGATATTTAACATGGATTCCTAAAATGTTGGAAGTATTATCATTATAATTCAGATGACTGCTCGACAAGAGGATTAATAAATAAAACAAAAGCATGTTAGGAACCGTTCAATCTGATTAAAACACAGATCCTATTTTGTTTCGTTTTTATAGTTCAAAATTTTGTTTTACTTGTCTTTACTACCCTAAGATCTGGAAGAGTTGTTGTCATTGACGTGTTCTGAATGGTGTGAGGAATTAGCCAATGAAACGGTCTGTTACGGCGAGCTTTAGGCGTGTTTTGCACGGAACTGTAGGTAATCCACTAGTAACATCAATTTTGATTGGTTAATCGTATGACCTCTGACGCGACCTATCTTCAGGTAGTGAAGGCCTTCGAAAGTATAAAAAACGAAACAAAATATAGATCTGTATTTTAATCAGATTGGAAACCGTTGAAAAATACCAACACTTGCGTCCAAATAGCCCGCGGATAGACATGAACGGAAATGAAATGGGGTAATAACGTCTTACTGTTCAGCTCCTATACTGGGCTGATGAAGACGGGCATACCTCATACAGTGTGTGCTATGAGGATAATTTTGCCCGGACAGCGGCACTATGGCCTACTCTTATATCGAATTCCAACTGTCAAGGGATCTTTTACGTGCACGCCAATGTATACACGGGGCCTCGGTTTTTCGTCCCATCCGAACGACTAGACAGCTGTCCTTGTCAGGGGAAATCCCGATGAACTTTTCGGCCAACGCAGGGATAGAACACGCGACCTCCAGACTAGCAAGTCAGCGTCTTACCCACTTAGCCATCGTGGCTCCCCGCGGATAGATGTCAACCTACCTATCAACCTGCCCATAACTGCCGACGGAGTAAAAAAATGTTGACAAAGATGGATTTTGATAAGACAAAATAACCGACATCTTATTTATCATTTCCTATCCACGGTGTCGTTCAACCCACCCACCCAGTTCCGTGGTTTGTTCGTTTGTTGAAATTGTGCGAAGGTCCCTTAGCTGAAATGAGAATCTTAACCATTGTTATTTTTTCTGGTTTCAGATTTTCGTTTTCGTGTCTGGATCTGGGAAAATTGAAGTTAACTTTGTTCAGTTCTTAAATCGAGAAGGAAAGGATTATGGTGGTTCATGCTGTGACCCTTCAGGTTGGGGCTGGTTTTCCAGTTCCACGGATTGTGAATCGGATAAATGTGATCATAAATTCGTCGTATGTATTGGAAACATAACACAGTAAGTTTTATTCTATCGTTGTTTTGTAATCTAAAGATGTATCTACTCAGCATCATAAGTTGAGTAAAGCTGAGTTAGTGTTGAGTTTGCTTGGCGTGAAGTTAGTGCCGAGTTCGCATGGAGCCGGTTTTGGTTTATTTTTCCTTTACGTGCAAGACAGTGTGTACACGAAAGGATACTGGGTGATAACCCTGGGAGTTCTTTCGACCCACGTCAGAATTCGAACTCGAGACATCATAATCGAGAATCTAGACCCCATTGCGCTTGGCCACTGTGGGTCCCTTGTTGGTATAGAACAATTTATACCACTTCTATATAATTTAATGAGGGTACTATAGAGAAATTATAATTGTACAACTCTTGTTTTTTCCAGGTCTAGTGACATGAAAGCCTGTGAATTTGGTCGAGTAGAAACCGATCCAGTTGAATCTAATGATATAACGTTTAATGGTCAGATAGGATTAACAAAAAATCCGTTGTGGTTCGATTTTAAACACTGGCCGGTAAGTGAGACAGGCGTGTGCAATGCAGTAACCACACCTATATTGTTTTAACAAATAAGATTGGATTGGGGAAGAGAGAGAGAAATGGGGTTTAACGTCCACTCGACACAAACTAGGTCATTTTGGGACTAACATATGTTTCAGTTTTAATCCAATAATTCGCTTGCTCGTAGGGGTCTTTAGCAGTGAGATGAAACCGGAGGACCGTAAGAAAACCCACGAGGCTGGACAGGCAACCCTACTCCTTGTCATGTACAACCGGGGAATCTAAAACCACGCAGTTGACTCAAAGACAGACCTTATGATACAGCGCACACGCGCTAACCATTCGGCCATCCAGCCCCCCAATATTATATTGGATTTAGATAATATGCAAGATTAGATAATATGCAAGGTTAGGCAGGCTACCCTACTGGTGCATTGTCGTAAACCACTAACTAACTTCTATGTTATATTTCAGGGTACATTAAAGATGAAAATAGACGTACTGGACGACGACGGTTATGGTTCTGTAGAATTTATAGATCATTATGAATATGAATATGGAACCAAAGAAACGAGGCGAGAAATTGATGCCCCCATTAGAAACCTTGTCCTTAAAGGATCCCGAACAGAGTGAGTATAATCTACAATATCACTGAAACTTCATCGCGTTAATGAAATATAATTAATCCGGGCTACTAAACTAGAAATCTGACAGTCATTTGGATTTTTAATTTCCTTATCCATTTAAGAAAAGGTACAAATCTAATCTTTTCATCAACAGAGACTGCTAGTATAAAAGCCCGAATCTCAGTGGACACCCACGAGTCAGTAAATACGTTTAGGTCAATGTGAAACCGATTAATGATAATAAATCCGGGGTTTGTACCTGGTGTTGTAGGTAAAATCTGGTAAGGAAATGGGCCAGGTTCTAATCTTCTAAACAGTTGTAAATAGAAATGAAAGTAGGCCATAGCTAGGGCGGGCTGGGCCTGGGGCCGTCGGACGTAGTCCGAGAGTCCCAGAGCACCAGAGGGACAAGCGGACAAACTAGTTTCGTTTTCTCGCCATGTCATGTATTCTTCACCGCGATGGGAGCACAAGGAAAACAGTAGGACCGATAGCCAAGATGACACAGAAACGTAAGACTCTATACCCTATGCATATCTTTGTATGTCTTAAGCGGTTTGTTTATAAGGCTGAATTGTGACAGACCAAATCAAATAATTATTGTTATTCTTTTGCCTTTAGTTTTAATCTGAAGCTCAAAGTTTTTTGTGATAAGAATTATTATGGAGAAGAATGTCTGGTTTATTGTGAAGCTAAAGATGATGCTACAGGACACTTTTACTGTGAACAGGACACGGGCAACAAACTATGTTTAACAGGTAACGTGTGGGAAATGTTTATCATACGGGATCGTCGCAAAATTTCAACGCTTGTGTCCAAACGAATAACCCGTTGATCGACCTCGACCCACCCATCCACCTGCCCACCTGCGCCGACGGAGTAAGAAAATGTTGACATTTTGCCGTTCATGATTCAGTATTAGAGAGCATCAGATGCGTTCCGAGAACGCAAACGAGGTAAAGTCGTTGTCGTTCTCGGAAGACGTGACGCACTTTCACGGTTCAGAAAAAAACGCATTCTTGACAAAAGGCGATGGTCCTGAAAATTGAATAGAACAAAAAGTGCACTGTTTGATAGCGTCGATTCGTGCTATCATTTCGTTTTTATTCGGCTAGTCAAACAGTGCCTAACAAATTCTGGTATATTTGAAAGGGATGTGTTTCGGTATAATTCTAAAAAAGATTTCTAAAAACAAAATTAAACTACTACAGAATTCGCTTACGAATTCAGAGGGTCAAAGACATTTTCACGAGCGAGGGGAAGCTAACGAGAACTTATGACGCAGCATGCAAAAAGGGAATCACCTCGTTTTCTTTCTCGGAACGCATCCGAACCTCTCTATTAAAAAGGCGAAATTCAACTTACCAGTTTCTATTCGCAGTGTCATTTAATCCACCCACCAAACCTAGTTCCGCGGGTTATTCGTTTGGACGCAAGTGTTGAAAATTTACGACATTCCCTAACTTATCGTCACCACTGTCAACGTAGATCAGTCCGACCTTGCGTCTGTCCATAATGCCTGTTTTTAAAACCTCGATGCTTCATTTTAGAGCTATAGGAATCACTTGCAAATATACAATATTATGAAAGATGCATCATTAATAGAAATGTCAGCCAAAATGATTCAGTGCAGTATTTAGAAAGCTGTGTTTGATTGAAATTTCATCGATCTAAACCCACCGCCATTTTGTTGTCCGCCCAAAAAATTATTGATAGACCTGTTTAAAATCCGATTTTATCCAAGACAGGACATTATCTAGCGTTGCCATTTTGATTTTGATTTCTTATAATAATCAATCTGAGTATATTATTAGCGTGGATTAGGCCGTCATATGTGAACGAAAAATGCTAGGAGTTTAGCTCAACTTGCTGGAATTGTTCGGCTAATCATATGGAGGTACATTGTAAAGCTGACCCAAGCATTAACTGCATGCGTTTATAGTTTTTTTCCTCTCCGAAAACTTGACAGACTCTCTTCAAAATGCTGATGATATTGGCGTACATGTACTCATATATTCATTGCTTTGCAAAACACATTTCTGTCAGTGATTTTAATTAGAAAAAACATATCTGCCCAGTTCCATGTCTTTTCCACGCATCTTATAATGAATGAACAATTTTAACAGGAAAGACGTCTACTTCGCGATCTTCATTGTTTGAGGCCTCCAATAATTCACACATGTTGCCTATTTTGGGAGTTTTAGTTGTTTTTAGATATTTACATTTCAAACAAACTTGAAAACATTTCTCTTTCTTTGATTCTAATTGTACATACAATTTATAGCATGTGTTCCAGTTTGACTGAATTAGGAAAACTTTTTAACTAACCGCTTTAAGAAGAAAGGAAATGTAAAATAAGTAACACTTTAGACTCCAGTTTCTTTATTCTGTCTACTATTCCTAATACAGAAAAAAATAATATTTTGTTGGGGTACTTTTTTAAAAATTCCGACCAGCGGTCCACTTATCTCAAACAACTTTTGTAGAATGCTTTTAAATTGTGCGAAATGTTTTCAATCTTCTCCGATTTGTTTACAAATTGGAATGTTACTCTTGCTTATGCGAAAATAGACACGTAAATGAAGCCTTGACAATTGGAATACGAAATAAGAGTACACTGTACCGCCACAAGCAAAATTTCCCTTAAAAGCATATGTCGCCTCCAGTAGCCCGATTGGTGCAGAAAAGAGGGAGAGAGAGAAATGGGGTTTAACGTCCACTCAACACAAACTAGGTCATTTCGGAACTAACATGTGGTTTAATTTTATTTCAATAATTCGCTTGCGCGTAGGGGTCTTTAGCAGTGGGAGTAAACCGGAGGACCCGGAGAAAACTCACGAGGTTGGACAGGCGACCCTACTCCTTGTCACGTACAACCGGGGATTCGAAACCACGCCAGATGACTCATGACAGGCCGTATGATACAGCACGCATTCGGCCACCCCCCCCCCCCCGGTGCAGAAAAGACTGGAAGTACAGTTCAGTATGCCAGATGAACAGTCGGTTTTTGCTCAATACAATTCTGTCTTGGAAAGACATTCTGGTTTCTAAAATGGCAGGAGAAGACAGTAGTTGTCAGGAACACCGATAAGAACGTTATGGTTATTGGTGACTCATTCTAGAACATCTTATACCACGTCTAAAACTGTACAATGTAATTTGTTATTTTGCATACTATCACTTGAACCCTGGGGTCACATAAATTTAAACTCAATATTCATTTGAGAAATTCACAAACATAATGAGAATCAAATTTATATTATTCTACCGGTAGTAATCGCAAGCTGTGCATTTCCGGGAAAGAGAGAGAGAAATGGGGTTTAACGTCCACTCGACACAAACTAGGTCATTGCGCGTAGGGGTCTTTAGCAGTGGGAGGAAACCGGAGGACCCGGAGAAAACCCACGAGGCTGGACAGGCGACCCTACTCCTTGTCACGTACAACCGGGGATTCGAAACCACGCCAGATGACTAAATGACAGGCCGTATGATACAGCACTCACGTGCTAACCATTCGGCCATCCAACCCCCCTGTGCATTTCCGGAATGTTGAAATGTCTGTTAACAAGTACATATTACGTATGTGTTTGGTAGGCAGTATTTGTATTATTAGAATACCGTGGAATAGGTCATATGTGTCTATATGTCTTTGTTTTTCTTTAAAAAAAGAAATTTAAAAATACAAAAAAAAAACCCAAACCATTGTCGCCATTCAGATGGATTAATTTTCAAAATAGTGGAATGGGGTAATGGGGTAATGATAGTAATATAAACTGGTGTTTTATAAGATAAAATAAAAAGTGTGGATTAAAAACACCAAAACATACACATAGCAAAAGATTCTAAGTTCCTCGCACAACAAAATAGACCAACGATTCTCAAATACTCCGTATTTGTTTTAATGAGAACTACCTTCTTACGTAGCAAATGTGCCTATTGTCGGAGATTGTGGGTGGCTTGGTCATGCGCGAGTTCATGCATAAGGTGACATTACAAGAGTAGCATCGGCAGTTTATCATTGCGCAATGGGGTAATACAATACAAATTTTGAATAGCTAAATAAACACCTTAAATTACAAGTGGTACAAGGTGTTTAGAACGAATATACACACCCCGCTTCCTCTCCCCAGGTTTAATTAGAATGAATGTACTAATATTGGACTGTATATTGTATTATAGGATGGAGTGGAGATGATTGTTTAACTAATAATGATGATTGTACTGGACACAGATGTTATGGTGGTTCTTCCTGTGTAGATGGCATTAATTCTTACACTTGTCAATGTCCAGCTGGTCGAACAGGTATATGCACCTTTCATGAATAGTGTTTTTTCAATACGTAAACCCACATTTCCACGGATTCCAAATTTAGACGAAAGCAGTAAGACTAACCGGTACATCGCTCCATTAAGGCCCATGACCCCCCCCCCCCCCGATTCCATTGATCCTGGGGGTCGCGGGTTCGATCTCTGTGTTGACCGAGAAAGTACATCGGTATTTTCCGATGTGGTTTCCCCCTGTCAGTGTTGCAGCTGTCTAGTCGTTCGGATCGGACGGAAAACTGAGGTCCCGTGTACACATTGACGCGCACGTTAAAGATCCCTTGGCAGTTGGAATTCGATACAAGAGTAGGCCGTGGCGCCACTGTCCAGGCAAAATTTCCCACATGGCGCACTGTATGGCATATGCCCGTCTTCATTAGCCCAGTCGGGGCAGAACTGTAGGACGTTAAGCCCCATTTCATTTTATTTTATTTCTGTCTTACTGGCGTCTGGACTCTGTCAACGCATCACGGAAGGTGTGCCCACCATCTCCTCCCGCCACCTTGTGCCACCGATGTCTCAGTCTCACTGAGTGTGTTCTTGAAGATGGATACCATAATACCAGGGGTCTATTCCCTTTTTTAAAATGCTTATACCCGTCCTTGTCAAAACAATATCTGTACAATTCTGACAATAATAATTTCCGACTTGCTTTACAGGTATCGTCTGTGATGCTGAGTTGAACGAATGTGCCAGCAATCCTTGTCAAAATGGCGGCCAATGTACGGATTCGGCTGGGGATTTTCTGTGTACCTGTAAACCTGGTTTCACCGGATTAAGATGTGAAACTAACATAGATGAATGTGAAAGTACACCCTGTTTACATGGGGTAAGTCAAATGTTTCAAAATCCTCGTTGCATCCTCTTTTTTTCCTTTCCCTGCTGATGGTTGAATTCTTTGAGCAATAATAGAACCTGTCCACCCAATTGTTGATCAGATCCTAAAGAATTGTCAACTTCTGTATTAACTTTCCTTTTCTTAATATAGATGCTGTTCTAGTAATCTTAAATACCACTTCGCTAGCACTAAAACTTGTGATCGTGGAAATGGACCTAGAAACAAAATTACATATATATTTGACATAAGAGCGGAATGTGCATAACCTCCACGATATCGTAGCTGGAACGTTTTCTTTCTTTCTGGCAAAACTAGTAATTTATAAATGACATCCAATTTTTAAATCTCCTTCTTGTTCTCAAAATCCGTGCATGATGAAAGTTTCGACTTGTGTCTTTACCATTCGATTGCCAGTTTGATTGCAACAAATCTAATGCTCATGGAGATTTGTTTTGCATATCTTGTCAACGTATATTAAAACTGTTAATTAGCTCGGGAATGTAAAGATGTGAACATTGGACTAATGGTAGTGATTACACTACATCTGCTTGTAAATATAGTTAGAATTGATCTATTCAGATAATTTTTAAAAAAATAATAATTTTAAAAGTAATTTTGGTCGTTCATGGTCTTAAACTCTATAATTAATATAGGTCAATCGAACCTTTATATGAGGTCAATTTGACTTTTATTCTGAGGTCAATCTAACCTTCATTCTGAGGTCAATCGAAACTTTATTTGAAGTCAATCTAACCTTTAATCTGAGGTCAAGTTAACATTTATTCTAAGGCCAATCTAACCTATATTTTGAGGGCAATCGAAACTTTTTTGAGGTCAATCTAACCTTTATTCTGAGTTCAATCGAACCTTTATTCTGAAGTTAATATACCCTTTATTCTGAGGTCTTTAACCTTTATTCTGAGTTCAATCGAACCTTTATTCTGAAGTTAATATACCCTTTATTCTGAGGTCTTTAACCTTTATTCCGAGATCATTCTAAATGCAATAACATCTTTATTTCCCCCTTTTCAATTGTTCTTAGTCTGCTGTAGTATAAATATTTTTTTAAAAAGTCAAAAGAGTATAATTTGAAATTTTAACTATAATTAGTAATTTGATAGCCAGCTTAATTTATTTCGATTACCAATGCAAGAGAGTAGAGTTTTTCTTCAAACATAAATTGGGGTCCATTGATGATAAGATCATTGGTTAGATATAATAATTATTTTATTGTTTGTTTTTGTTGATTCAAGTTTTTATTTATTATATCTAGGTTTGGTAAGTTGTATACATCTAAATGTTTTTTTTTTTGTTTTTTTTTAAGTTTTTGTATTGTTTAATTTAAAAGATAAATAAACATAGTTTTACGTCAATAACGTAAGACTCTATTTGAGGGGAAATAACCGAGGTTTTTTTTGTAATCAAACCGAAACCTTGGAAAATTTTTCGATTTTTCGATTTTGCGTGAGTGTCACGGCCTAGATATTGTTACCATAGCAAACAAAAATACACAGTATCTTGAAATGACTAATTATTAACGAGACGAAATCGAATTCGTTCTTTTAAAGGTGAGTGAAATGTAAATTATAGGCTACTATGCACTTAAACCGCACAGAAATATAATATGTTTTTCAATATTTTGTTCTAGGGTACCTGTAAGGATGGGAGTAACAAATTTATATGTAACTGCAGTCCTGGCTTCGAGGGTCCTCGCTGCGAATTTAATATAAATGAGTGTGCGAGCGCCCCCTGTAAACATGCTACAAACTGTATAGATGGCGTCAATGACTATAAGTGTGTCTGTACCCCAGGTTATGCTGGTAAGTATGTTTGATATCTTCTTTAAAACAGTGTTCCCCTTTTCTAAAACACAGTTAGGTATTTCGATAGAAAACTACCAAAAAAACTATCCGAATAATAAGATCTGTATTGGTTAGTATTGTACATATATAAACTAGGGGAGTTGACTCTTCACAGATTTGTCTTTTAAAGGACAACTGCAGTCGTTGTTCTTTTTTTAAATATAATATATGATCTAATACTAAAATAGTTTCAAAAATGCACAGCTCGAAATGCTAATCATTCTTATTTGAATTAGTAAATTAAGACTTCGTTTGTGACGTCATTAGGGCATCTGTCAGTCATCACTATTTATAAACAAAATCACTTCCTCTTGCTGTTAAAGCTATTCTCAACACTCATTAAACTAGTGTGAATACCAAATAAAAACGCCGTAGAATTGACTAATATATCACCTCATACAGCCATAATTAATGCACGGAGTTGCTAATTAAAGTTGATCAGTATTTTGGATTGTGCGTTTTTGAAACTATTTAAATATTAGATAATATAAAAAATAGCTACGAGTGTTCTTCTCCTTTAAAACCTTCAGATAGCTTCAATTTGTTCCCCAGTGTATTACTTATTTATGTAAGGAGCTTCAAAAGAACTTCAGGTTGATAATGCAGCGATAAAAGCACACAACTGTTTAATCCATTCTGTTTATTTCCAGGTAAAAATTGTGAAGTGAAGGCTTTTGCTTGTGCCAGTAGACCCTGTAAAAATAACGCTTTTTGCGAAGATGTTGCTACCGGCTACAAGTGTCATTGTCAGAACGGAACAAGTGGCAAGAACTGTGAGAATAACGACGATGATTGTATCGATTCACCATGCGATAACTCGGGAACGTGTGTGGACGGTGTTGGTATATACACTTGCATATGTCCATCAGGATTCACGGGTTCTATGTGCGAGACCCAGATTGATGAGTGTGCAAGTGGACCTTGCTTAAATCAAGGCTTGTGCATTGACCTCTTAACTAGTTTTCAATGTACGTGCACATTTGGCTTTACGGGTAAAACATGCGAAATAAACATTGACGACTGTTCTCCTGATCCATGCTTAAACGGGGGTACGTGTGTCGATAAAATTGACGATTTTGAATGTCTCTGCGGAACGGGTTGGACTGGAACTACGTGCAATAAGAAAACGGACATATCATCGTTATGTGACGGTTCCCCGTGTTCAAATGGTGGCACCTGTGTCGATCTGATTACAGATTTCGAATGTATATGTCACCAAGGATATTATGGTAGAACGTGCAGTGGCGAGGTAGTAACGGCCCCGACGACGACCACACAACCACCTTCTATGTGTGACACCACTACTTGTCTTAACGACGGAACGTGCATCGATTTGGGAGAAGGTGATTTCGATTGCGATTGTCCGGATGGATTCGATGGTAAAACATGTGAACTGGTTATCGGAAGTTGTTCAGATGACCCCTGTCTAAACGGGGGAACTTGTGTTGATCTGATTACGGATTTCAAATGTATATGTCACCCAGGATATTATGGTAAAACGTGCAGTGACGCGGCAGTGACCGCCGCGACGTCCACACAACCCGCTTCTGTATGTGGAACCACTACTTGTCATAACGGCGGAACATGCATCGATTTGGGAGAAGGGGATTTCGATTGTGATTGTCCGGATGGATTCGATGGTAAAACATGTGAACGGGTTATCGGAAGTTGTTCAAATGACCCCTGTCAAAACGGTGGAACTTGTGTTGATAACAATGGAGACTTTACCTGTTTCTGTGTGGCTGGATGGAGTGGCAGTATATGTGATTTACAGGCTGATGTGACATCTACAGTTGCTCCTATACCATCACCAATCCCAGATGTACCATCTACGCCGTGCGCCAGTAACCCATGTTTACATGAAGGTAAATGTATAGATATAGGGACTAGTGATTTTTTTTGTTCGTGTGAAGAGGGATTTGATGGGAAGTTTTGCGAATTAAAGTTGGAGGAAAGTGTATGCGAAAGCAGTCCTTGTGCCAACAATGGAACCTGCATCGAGAGAGGAAAGTATGATTACGACTGCCTGTGTGATGCTGATTGGACAGGCGAGCGGTGCGACATTACTCTCTCAATTTCCAGAACTTTCCCTACAACGCCAGGACCTTGCAGTCCTAATCCTTGCGTAAATGGGGCGAGTTGTTTTCCTAGTCCGCGTCGTGGATTTGTGTGTGCGTGTGCCCCTGGTTATACCGATAAATATTGCGAAATAGACATTGACGAATGCTATAGTTATCCATGTTTGAATGGAGGGACGTGCACGGATAAGGTTAATGGCTTCGAATGTAGTTGTGGTCCAGATAGACAAGGGCTATTGTGCGAAGACCCAAGTCCTTTATCTGAAACAACGACAGAAGTACTGGTCACAGAGAGAGCAAGTTCACAAATTTCGACAGAATCTATTAAGGTGTTTGAAGTATCCACTATGCCAACAACAGCCGAGACGCAAACATTTGATGATAAATTTTCCTTTGATGTCTTCGGTGATCTTGATCATCCCTTTGAAATTATAAAAACTAAAAAAGAAACCCAACCGCCACCATTAGAACCACAAACAACAACCGAAAAACTGTTTGGAACAACTCTTTTTGCAGATGACCCAAACGCAATGATTACTAAAGATATTCTTTCCCAATCACCAACTACTCTTTTGAAAGATGGTTACATTTATGAGGATAGTACAACAAAAGTTAAGCCAGACATTTCGACAACCAATGAACTTGGTGGCTTTTCAACTGACATAACAAGTGTAAATACAAGAGATAGTTCTCCCGGAGCAACACATTCTACTGTCTCTACAAATGTACCCCCCATCGAGAGCTCCGAAGAAGCATCTTCTCCATCAACAGACGTACAAAGTTCGACTGAGGTTTCTACCTCAAGTATAGAACTGTCGAGTTCAGGTCAACCCACCTTATTTGAGTCATCTACACCAGGAACAGGTTCTACAGGGTTAACTATTGAAATATCGGGTTCAGCAGGGTCATCTACGCCTAGTACTAATGTACCCGGTTCTACGACGGATTTTTCTCAAAGCACGGCACAGTCCGGTTCAACGGAGGAATCAGTCTCAAGTAAAGATCTACTAAGCTCTACAGGAAGTGCAACAGATATATCTACACCAAGCACAGATCTAACTGGTTCTACAGACGTATTAAGCACAGCTGTAACCGATTCTGAAACGGTATCCACACCAAGCACGGACATTTCGGGGTCAACGCAGGAATCCACAGTAATCACAGAATTACCCGGTTCTACACCAAGCACAGATCTACGTGGATCTACAGAGGATTCTACATCTGGTATAGACCTAACTAGTTCAACAGAGGAATCTGCATTGACCACGGCTTTACCCACAGCATATACACCGGGAACAGATCTACCGGCATCAGCAGATCTAACAGTGCTTAGTACAGACATCCCTGATTCGACGGATGCATCTACACCTAGCACTAATCCAACAGGGTCTACTCTAATCACAGACACCCCACAGCTCACGGAGGAATCTACATCAACTACGGGTATGTCAAGCTCGGTAGAGGCGTCTACCCCAAGCACATTTCTTTCTGGCTCTACATACGAGCCTACCTCCAGTGCAGAACCACCAGGCTCTACCCAAAGCACAGAACTACCCAGTTCAGCAGATGCATTTACATCTAGCTCAGACATGTGGGATACTACCCAAAGCACATATCTACCTGGTTCAAAAGATGTATCCATTTCTAGTACAGATGCACTTGCTTCAACAGAGGAATCTACTTCTAGCACGGATCCACAGTTGAGTTCAACAGTAGTACCTACACCAGATACATATATGTCTAGCTCTACTGGAGTGTCATTGTTTAGCACAGATGCACCAAATTCAACTGATGGATCTAGTTCTAGCACAGATGTAACAGTATCACAAGACACCCAAGACTCAATAACACCTGGTTCAACAGAACCAGTCACATCTAGATTGGACATTTCGGGCTCAACTGGATTATTTACCTTAACCACGGATGTACCGGGTTCAACCACTACAACCCCAAACCCTGAAATAACAGAACCATCCATACACTTTGAGACGGAAAGAACATTGGAAGACATTCAAAACCTGACCGGGGAATCATTATTAGTGGAAACTACAACATCACAGAAGGACTCCGATTTTACAACATTACATAGTGTAGACTTAACCTCTGCAGATGAAACGACCTCACCATATGCAGTTTCGCAAAGCAGCTCTGCAGAGTTTATTAGTACAACGGGGTTTTATACAAAGGACACACAAACCGTGGTAGATTCTGAGAACATAACCAACGCCACAGAAGAAACACCAGAACAATCCTCAGACATGCCCGACGGATCAACAAATGGTTCAGACGATTTGGCAACAACACAAGCATCGACGGGAGAAACATCTGTCAGCCCCCTTAACACAAGCACAGAGACACTACCTGACACCCAAACAAATATGTCTCCGGATTTTGTTTTCCATTCTACTAGCGGGGAAGGGTTAACAGAGCAAGGTGAGAAGGGCACATTTTCAAATTCATCCATTATGCCAGCTACCCACCATGCCACTGACCAGCCTACCACGCCCAAGTTACATCAGATATCAAAAGCAGACACAACTGCTCCTCAAACACCCTCTTCTATCGATACCACTACCCCTTACAAATATGGCACATCTTTACCCCTGAAAGCAAGCTTGACTTCAGAGCTAATTCCACAGGCCTCATCCATTTTACCCACAACACTCAAACCCTCAACCGCACAAGAAGATCTTACTATAAATCCTCAAATAACGACCCGTGAAACTAAACCACGCCCAACACTATCGTCATATAGCTCCACGCAAGAATCAAACAACCCCAAGTCCACTATGCCCTCTATACATACGTCTTATCTCTTTAATATGTCAGCTGATACAACTAGTCCCACAGGAACATCCACCTCACAATCGAAATACGAAAACAATGTTTCAATTTTGAACCCTGCATCTCCCGCCTCACCAAATATCACCCAACCTACTACCATAATATCGGATGTTAGTTTGTATTCCCATTCATATAAAAATACTATGTCTCATGATACATCATCCAGTAGAGAATCTGGTGCTACACAATCTAATACGATATCCAGTACCACAACACTATCTGATACACAATTTAGCACTACAACACTATCTGATACAGTATCTAGTACCACGACACTGTCTGGTTTACCATCTAGTACCACGACACTGTCTGATACACTATCTAGTACAACACTATCTGATACACCATCTAATGCCACACTATTTGATACACCATCTAGTACAACACTACCTGATGCACCATCTAGTACCAAACTATATGATACACCGCCTAGTATCACGACACTATCTGATACGCCATCTAGTACCACGACACTATTTGATACACCATCTAGTACCACACTATCTGATACACCATTTAGTACAACGCCACTATATGATACACAACCTAGTACCACACTATCTGATACACCACCTAGTACAACACTATCTGATATACCATCTAGTACAACACTATCTGATACATCATCTAGTACCACACCAATACATGATACACCATCTAGTACCACACGACTACATGATACAACATCTAGTATCACAACACTATCTGATACACCATCTAGTATCGAAACACTATCTGATATACTATCTAGTACAACACTATCTGATACAGCATCTAGTACCACACTATCTGATACACCATCTAGTACAACACCACTATCTGATACAAAATCTAGTACCACACTATCTAATACACCGCCTAGTACAACTGCGCTATCTGATACACTATCTAGTACCACACTATCTGATACACCGCCCAGTATCACGACACAATCTGATACACTATCTAGTACAACACTATCTGATACACCATCTAATACCACACTATTTGATACACCATCTAGTACAACGCTACCTGATACACCATCTAGTACCAAACTATCTGATACACCGCCTAGTATCACGCCACTATCTGATACGCCATCTAGTACCACGACACTATTTGATACACCATCTAGTACCAAACTATCTGATACACCGCCTAGTATCACGCCACTATCTGATACGCCATCTAGTACCACGACACTATTTGATACACCATCTAGTACCACACTATTTGATACGCCATTTAGTTCAACACCACTATATGATACACCATCTAGTACCACACTATCTGATACACCACCTAGTTCAACACTATCTGATACACCATCTAGTACAACACTATCTGATACATCATCTAGTACCACACCACTACACGATACACCATCTAGTACCACACGACTACATGATACAACATCTAGTATCACAACACTATCTGAAACAGCATCTAGTATCACAACACTATCTGATACACTATCTAGTACAACACTATCTGATACAGCATCTACTACCACACTATCTGATACACCATCTAGTACAACAATATCCGATACACCATCCAGTACAACACTATCTGATACACCATCTAGTACCACACCACTACATGATACACCATCTAATACCACACCACTACATGATACATCATTAAGTACTACAACACAATATGATACATCATCCAGAACCACAACGCTATCTAATACATCATCCAGTGCCCCAATACTATCTGATATAACATCAAGTACAACGATACTGTCGGATTCGCTATCTAGTACTACAACACTATATGATACAACATCTAGTTTCAAACCGCTATCTGACACAACATCTAGTATCACACCACTATCCGATATACCATCTAGTACCACACCACCGACTGTTACAATATCATCAGATACAACAACATCGCCTCTTAAGAGAACAACACTACCTGATTCATCAACATCGCCATCTGATACAACAAGATCGCCATCTGAAACAACAACATCATATGATACAAAAAAAACACTTGAAACAACATTGTCATCTGATACAACAACATCATCTTATACAACAACCTCACCCGCTACAACAATTTCATCTGATACAGAACTCGATACAACAACACATGAAACAATATTGCCATCTTATACAACACCATCATCTTATACAACAATATCAACCGCTACAACAACATCACCAATTATAACATCTAAAACAACATCACTACCTGATACAACATCGCCACCTGATACAAAACCATCTAATATAAAAACAATATTTGACACAGCAACACCACCTGATACAACATCATCTGATACAACATCGACAGCTGATACAACACCATCCGATATAACACCATCTGATACAACTTCAACTGATACAACATCACCAGCTGATACAACAATATCATCCGACACAACATCTTCAACTGATACAACATCGCAACCTGATACAACAACATCATCTGATACAACATCACCGTCTGGCACAACATCTTCACCTGATACAACATCGCCACCTGATACAACATCATCTGATACAACATCACCTCCTGATACAAGAAACTCATCTTACACAACATCACCGCCTGATAAAACATCGCCACCTGATACAACAACGTCACCTGATCAAACATTGCCATTAGATACATCAATATTACAAGATAAAGCAACATCGTATGATACAACAAGACTATCTGATATAGAAACACTACATTATACAACACAATCTGATACAGTCACGACGTCTGATACAAAAACGCTATCTGATAAAAAGCTATCGTTTAAAACAACAATATCTGGGTCGGGTACAACAACACATTTTGATAAAATAACACCATCGGAAATACTCGCATCTGCAGATTCCTCAATACAGTCGGATACAACATCGCCGTATGATACAACAATATTAGATTCATCTTTACAAGCTGATACAACCACACACTCTAGTACCATAAGACCACATGATACGACATCTAATATCACAACACTGTCTGGTATTGCACCCAGTACCACGACAAAATCCAGTACCAAGATAACATCTGATATTACATCTGATAGAACATCCAGTACCACGACGCTCTCTGACATTATACCTGCTGGTGCAGCATCCATTACCACGACAACATCTGATATTAAACTTGTTGATACAACATTCAGTACCACGACGTTCTCCGATTTTACACCTGCTGATACAACACCCAGTACCACGACCTCGTCTTATATTTCACCCGCCGATGCAATATCCAGTACCACGACAACATCTGGTACTACACATTCTGATAAAGCACTTTCTGATACAACTACACCCGATACAAAAACATCAAATAATACAAAAATATCACCTGATACAACAACAGCATCTCCACATGATACAACAATATCATCTGATACAACAACACTTGACACAACAACGTCATCCGACACAGCAACTTCACCAGATAAAACAACGGCATCGGATACATCGCAACTTGATACAATAAGTGATACAACATCAACTGATACAACAACACGTGATACAACATCATCTGATACAACAGCAACGTCATCTGATAGAACAACATCACCTGACACAGCAACACGCGATACAACATTATCACCTGGAATAAAAACAACACCTAATATACCAACATCATCGGATACAAACACAGATGATACCAGGGCACAAACTGATGTTACATCACCGGCTAATACCATATCACAAGCTGATATTACATTACAATCTGACATTACACCCCATGTTGATATTACCTCACAAGTTGATATTACATCACCAGTTGATGTTAACACTATATCACCAGTTCATGTTAACACTATATCAGAAGTTGATACTATATCAGAAGTTGATACTATATCAGAAGCTGATATTACATTACCACCTGATATTACGGCACAAACTGATATTACATTACAAACTGATATTACATCACAAACCGATTCTATACCACATGATGATATTACATCACAAGGCGATATTACATTACAAGCTGATATTACAGCACAAACTGATATATCATCACATATTACATCACCAGTTGATACCACATCATCAGCAGTTGACAGTACACCACAAGTTGATTCCACATCACAAACTGATATTACACCACAGGCTGATATAACATCACCATTTGATACCACATCACAAACTGGTATCACATTCCCAGCTGATATAACATCACAAACTGATATTACATCACAAGCTGATATCACACCGTATGTTGATATTACAACACAAGCTGATATTACATTACCAGTTGATACTATTTCACAAGCTAATATTACATTACCACCTGATATTACAGAACAAACTGATATTACATTACAAACTGATATTACATCACAAACTGATTTTATATCACAAGGCGATATTAAATTACAAGCTGATATTACAGCACAAACTGATATATCATCACCAGTTAGTACAACATCATTACCTGATATCACACTCCCAGTTGATACCACATCAGTACTTGATATTATATCACCAGTCGATGCATCACCAGTCGATACCACAACATCAGCCGATATTACACCACCAGCCGATATTACATCACCAGTTGATACAACACCAGTACCTGATATTGCATCATCAGTTGATACTACATCACCAGCAGATATTACATTACCATCGAATATTACACCAACAGTTTACAGTACACCACAAGTAGATTCCTCATCACAAACTGATATTACATCACAAGCTGGTTTTACCTTACTAGCTGATATTACATCACGAGTCGATATTACTTCACCAGCTAAAATTACATCATCTGTTGGTACTACATCAAGAGTTCATACCACAGTACAAGCTGATATTACATCACAAGCTGATATTACATCACAAGCTGATATTACATCAGCAGTTGATACCACATCATTACCTGATATTACATCAATAGTTGATACTACATCACCAGCCGATATTACAGCACAAGTTGATACAACACCTGCAGCTGATATTACATCACAAGCTGATATTACATCAGCAGTTGATACTACATCAGCGACAGATATTACATCACCGTCTGATATTACATTACCATCTGATACTACATCACCAGTTGATACTACAACACATGCTGATTTTACATCACGAGATGATACTTCATCACAAGCTGATATTACACCTTATGTCGATATTACATCAGAAGCTGATATTACATCATCAGTTTATACTATAACACCAGCTGATATTACAATACAGCCCGGTATTGATATTACATCACCAGTTGATACTATATCACAAGTTGGTGCTACATCACAAACTGATATTACATCAAAAGTTGATACTACGCCACTACCTGATATTACATCACCAGTTGATACTATGTCAGAAGTTGATGCTACATCACAAACCGATATTACATCACCAGTTGATACTACACCACTACCTGATATTACAACACCAATTGATAGTACACCACTACCTGGTACTACACCACTACCTGATATTACATCACCTACTAATATTTCATCACCAGTTCACAGTACGCCAGAAGTTGATGCCACATCAAAAACAGATATTACGTCACAAGCTGATATTACATCACCAGTTGATATTACACAACTACCTGATATTACACAACTACCTGATATTACATCAAATGGAGATCTTATATCACAAGCTGATATTACACCATCATCTGATACCACATGGCAAGCTGATACTGCCCCAACAGCCTATACATCACAAGCTTATATTACATTACAAGATGATACTGCACAACATACTGATACTACATCACAAGTTGATACTACATCATCATCTGATATTACACCAGCACATGCTGATATTTTATCACCAGCTGATACTGCACAACATACTGATACTACATCACAAGTTGATACTACATCATCATCTGATATTACACCAGCACATGCTGATATTATATCACCAGCTGATGTTACTTCAACAGTTGATATTACATTACCTAATGATATTACATCACAACCTGATATTATGTCACAAGCTGATATTACGTCACAAGCTGATACTGTATCACAAGCTGATATGACACCACCATCTGATACAACATTTGGGGTTACATCGCCAGTTGATATTACATCACAAGTCGGTGGTACATACCCAGCTGATATAACACCACCAGCTGATATTACATCACCAACTGATATTACATCACCAGTTGATACTACACCGAAGGCTAATATTACATCACCAGCTGATGTTAGATCACAAGCTGATATTACATTACCAACTGATACCACACCACTAGCTGATATTTCATCAACAGTTGATACTACTCACCAAGGTGATAGTACACCAGCGATTAGTACTACACCCCAAACTGATGTTATATCACAAGCTGATAATACACCATCATCTGATACCACGTGGCAAGGTGATACTGCTCCAACAGCTTATACATCACACGCTGATATTACATTACAAGATGATACTACACCACATGCTGATACTACATCACCAGTTGATACTACATCACCAGCGGATACTACATCGCCATCTAATATGACATCTCCAGCAGATACTACATCACCGGTTGCTATTACATTAATACCTGATATTACATCACAAACTGCGATTACACCAGCAGCTGATATTATATCACAAGTCGGTACTACACATCCAACTGACATAACAAAACAAGTTGATATTACACCACCATCTGATACCACATGGCAAGCTGATACAGCATCACCAGCTGATACTGCTCCACCAGCTGATATTACACCACAACCTAATATTACATTACAATCTGATACTACACCACATTCTGATACTGTATCACAAGCTGATATTACACCACCATCTAATACCACATCTGAGGTTACATCGCCAGTTGATATTACACCACAAGTAGGTGTTACTACACCAGCGATTAGTACTACACCACAAACTGATGCTACATCACCAGTTGATACCACATCAAAAACTGATATCACATTACCAGCAATTAGTACATCACAAATTGATATTACACCACCAGCTGACACTACATCATCAGCTGATACCACATCACCAGCTGATATTACTTTATCAGTTGATATTACACCACCAGCTGATATTATTTCACGGGGTGATATTACATCACAGACTGATATTACATCACAGACTAATATTACACTAGCAGATATTATATCATTAGTTGATACCACATCACTACCTGATATTACATCACAGACTGATATTTCATCACCGTCTGATATTACATCACCCGTTGATTCTACTCCACAAGCTGATATTACATCAACAGATGATACCAGAGAACAAATTGATATTACATCACCAGCTGATACCGCATCACAATCTGACATTACACCCCAAGTTGATATTACATCACCAGTTGATATTATGTCAGCAGTTGACCGTATATCACCAATTGATATTACACCACCAGCTGGTATTACATTACCACCCGATATTACATCACCAGTTGACAGTACAGCACAAGTTCATACCGCGTCACAAACTAAAATTACACCACATGCTGATATTACACCACCATTTGATGCCACATCACCAACTGATATTACATTACCAGCTGATATAACATCACAAACTGATATTACATCACAAGCTGATATCACACCGCATGTTGATATTACATCACAAGCTGATATTACATCACCAGTTGATATTACATCAACAGTTGACAGTACACCACAAGTTGATGCCACATCACAAATCGATTTTACCCCACAAGCTAATATTACATTACCACATGATATTACATCACAAACTGATATCACATTACAATCTAATGTTACATCACAAACTGATTTTATACCACATGCTGATATTACATCACAAGGCGATATTACATTACAAGCTGATATTACATCACAAGGCGATATTACATTACTAGCTGATATTACAGCACAAACTGATCTACCATTACCATTTCCTGATATCACAATCCCAGTTGATACCACATCAGTACTTGATACTACATCACAAGTTGATGCATCATCAGTTGATACCACAACACAAGCCGATATTACATCACCAGTTGATACCACACCAGTACCTAATATTACATCACCAGTCGATATTACATCACCATCAGATGTTACATCACCATCACCAGTTGGAACTACACCACGAGCTGATAGTACATTACCACCGAATATTACATCAACAGATTCCTCATCACAAACTGATTTTACGTTACTGGCTGATATTACATCACCAGTTGATATTACTTCACCAGTTGATATTACTTCACCAGCTAAAATTACATCATCTGTTGATACTACATCAAGACCTCATACGACAGTGCAAGCTGATATTACGTCAGCAGTTGGTATCACGTCATTGCCTGATATTACAACACACGTTGATACAACACCTGCAGCTGATATTACATCACAAGCTGATATTACATCACCAGTTGATACTACATCAGCGACAGATATTACATCACCGTCTGATATTACATTACCATCTGATACTACATCACCAGTTGATACTACAACACATGCTGATTTTACATCACGAGATGATACTACATCACAAGCTGATATTACACCTTATGTCGATATTACATCAGAAGCTGATATTACATCATCAGTTTATACTATAACACCAGCTGATATTACAATACAGCCCGGTATTGATATTACATCACCAGTTGATACTATATCACAAGTTGGTGCTACATCACAAACTGATATTACATCAAACGTTGATAGTACGCCACTACCTGATATTACATCACCAGTTGATACTATGTCACAAGTTGATGCTACATCACAAACCGATATTACATCACCAGTTGATACTACACCACTACCTGATATTACAACACCAATTGATAGTACACCACTACCTGGTACTACACCACTACCTGATATTACATCACCCACTAATATTTCATCACCAGTTCACAGTACGCCAGAAGTTGATGCCACATCAAAAACAGATATTACGTCACAAGCTGATATTACATCACCAGTTGATATTACACAACTACCTGATATTACACAACTACCTGATATTACATCAAATGGAGATCTTATATCACAAGCTGATATTACACCATCATCTGATACCACATGGCAAGCTGATACTGCCCCAACAGCCTATACATCACAAGCTGATATTACATTACAAGATGATACTGCACAACATACTGATACTATATCACAAGTTGATACTACATCAGCACATGCTGATATTATATCACCAGCTGATGTTACTTCAACAGTTGATATTACATTACCTAATGATATTACATCACAACCTGATATTATGTCACAACCTGATATAACGTCACAAGCTGATACTGTATCACAAGCTGGTATGACACCACCATCTGATACCACATTTGAGGTTACATCGCCAGTTGATATTACATCACAATTCGGTGCTACATACCCAGCTGATATAACACCACCAGCTGATATTACATCACCAACTGATATTACATCACCAGTTGATACTACACCGAAGGCTAATATTACATCACCAGCTGATGTTAGATCACATGCTGATATTACATTACCAACTGATACCACACCACTAGCTGATATTTCATCAACAGTTGATACTACTCACCAAGGTGATAGTACACCAGCGATTAGTACTACACCCCAAACTGATGTTATATCACAAGCTGATAATACACCATCATCTGATACCACGTGGCAAGCTGATACTGCTCCAACAGCTTATACATCACCCGCTGATATTACATTACAAGATGATACTACACCACATGCTGATACTACATCACCAGTTGATACTACATCACCAGTGGATACTACATCGCCATCTAATATGACATCTCCAGCAGATACTACATCACCGGTTGCTATTACATTAATACCCGATATTACATCACAAACTGCGATTACACCAGCAGCTGATATTATATCACAAGTCGGTACTACACATCCAACTGACATAACAAAACAAGCTGATATTACACCACCATCTGATACCACATGGCAAGCTGATACAGCATCACCAGCTGATACTGCTCCACCAGCTGATATTACACCACAACGTAATATTACATTACATTCTGATACTACACCACATTCTGATACTGTATCACAAGCTGATATTACACCACCATCTAATACCATATCTGAGGTTACATCGCCAGTTGATATTACACCACAAGTAGGTGTTACTACACCAGCGATTAGTACTACACCACAAACTGATGCTACATCACCAGTTGATACCACATCAAAAACTGATATCACATTACCAGCAATTAGTACATCACAAATTGATATTACACCACCAGCTGACACTACATCATCAGCTGATACCACATCACCAGCTGATATTACTTTACCAGTTGATATTACACCACCAGCTGATATTATTTCACGGGGTGATATTACATCACAGGCTGATATTACATCACAGACTAATATTACACCAGCAGATATTATATCATTAGTTGATACCACATCACTACCTGATATTACATCACAGACTGATATTTCATCACCGTCTGATATTACATCACCCGTTGATTCTACTCCACAAGCTGATATTACATCAACTGATGATACCAGAGAACAAATTGATATTACATCACCAGCTGATACCGCATCACAATCTGACATTACACCCCAAGTTGATATTACATCACCAGTTGATATTATGTCAGCAGTTGACCGTATATCACCAATTGATACTACACCACCAGCTGATATTACATTACCACCCGATATTACATCACCAGTTGACAGTACACCACAAGTTCATACCGCGTCACAAACTAAAATTACACCACATGCTGATATTACACCACCATTTGATGCCACATCACCAACTGATATTACATTACCAGCTGATATAACATCACAAACTGATATTACATCACAAGCTGATATCACACCGCATGTTGATATTACATCACAAGCTGATATTACATCACCAGTTGATAATCCATCAACAGTTGACAGTACACCACAAGTTGATGCCACATCACAAATCGATATTACCCCACAAGCTAATATTACATTACCACATGATATTACATCACAAACTGATATCACATTACAATCTAATGTTACATCACAAACTGATTTTATACCACATGCTGATATTACATCACAAGGCGATATTACATTACAAGCTGATATTACATCACAAGGCGATATTACATTACAAGCTGATATTACAGCACAAACTGATATTCCATTACCATTTCCTGATATCACAATCCCAGTTGATACCACATCAGTACTTGATACTACATCACAAGTTGATGCATCATCAGTTGATACCACAACACCAGCCGATATTACATCACCAGTTGATACCACACCAGTACCTAATATTACATCACCAGTCGATATTACATCACCATCAGATGTTACATCACCATCACCAGTTGGAACTACACCACGAGCTGATAGTACATTACCACCGAATATTACATCAACAGATTCCTCATCACAAACTGATTTTACGTTACTGGCTGATATTACATCACCAGTTGATATTACTTCACCAGTTGATACTATTTCACCAGTTAAAATTACATCATCTGTTGATACTACATCAAGACCTCATACGACAGTGCAAGCTGATATTACGTCAGCAGTTGGTATCACATCATTGCCTGATATTACAACACACGTTGATACAACACCTGCAGCTGATATTACATCACAAGCTGATATTACATCACCAGTTGATACTACATCAGCGACAGATATTACATCACCGTCTGATATTACATTACCATCTGATACTACATCACCAGTTGATACTACAACACATGCTGATTTTACATCACGAGATGATACTACATCACAAGCTGATATTACACCTTATGTCGATATTACATCAGAAGCTGATATTACATCATCAGTTTATACTATAACACCAGCTGATATTACAATACAGCCCGGTATTGATATTACATCACCAGTTGATACTATATCACAAGTTGGTGCTACATCACAAACTGATATTACATCAAAAGTTGATACTACGCCACTACCTGATATTACATCACCAGTTGATACTATGTCACAAGTTGATGCTACATCACAAACCGATATTACATCACCAGTTGATACTACACCACTACCTGATATTACAACACCAATTGATAGTACACCACTACCTGGTACTACACCACTACCTGATATTACATCACCCACTAATATTTCATCACCAGTTCACAGTACGTCAGAAGTTGATGCCACATCAAAAACAGATATTACGTCACAAGCTGATATTACATCACCAGTTGATATTACACAACTACCTGATATTACACAACTACCTGATATTACATCAAATGGAGATCTTATATCACAAGCTGATATTACACCATCATCTGATACCACATGGCAAGCTGATACTGCCCCAACAGCCTATACATCACAAGCTGATATTACATTACAAGATGATACTGCACAACATACTGATACTATATCACAAGTTGATACTACATCATCATCAGATATTACATCAGCACATGCTGATATTATATCACCAGCTGATGTTACTTCAACAGTTGATATTACATTACCTAATGATATTACATCACAACCTGATATTATGTCACAACCTGATATTACGTCACAAACTGATACTGTATCACAAGCTGATATGACACCACCATCTGATACCACATTTGAGGTTACATCGCCAGTTGATATTACATCACAAGTCGGTGGTACATACCCAGCTGATATAACACCACCAGCTGATATTACATCACCAACTGATATTACATCACCAGTTGATACTACACCGAAGGCTAATATTACATCACCAGCTGATGTTAGATCACAAGCTGATATTACATTACCAACTGATACCACACCACTAGCTGATATTTCATCAACAGTTGATACTACTCACCAAGGTGATAGTACACCAGCGATTAGTACTACACCCCAAACTGATGTTATATCACAAGCTGATAATACATCATCATCTGATACCACGTGGCAAGCTGATACTGCTCCAACAGCTTATACATCACACGCTGATATTACATTACAAGATGATACTACACCACATGCTGATACTACATCACCAGTTGATACTACATCACCAGTGGATACTACATCGCCATCTAATATGACATCTCTAGCAGATACTACATCACCGGTTGCTATTACATTAATACCTGATATTACATCACAAACTGCGATTACACCAGCAGCTGATATTATATCACAAGTCGGTACTACACATCCAACTGACATAACAAAACAAGCTGATATTACACCCCCATCTGATACGACATGGCAAGCTGATACTGCTCCACAAGCTGATATTACATCACACCCTGATATTACATTAAAATCTGATACTACACGGCATGCTGACATTGTATCACCAGCTGATATTACATCACCAATTGATATTACACCACTACCTGATATCACATTACCCGGTGATATTACATCACAAGCTGATATTCCGTCACAAACTGATATTACATTACAATATGATACTACACCACATGCTGATATTACATCACCATCTGATGTTACGTTACCAGTTGATATTACACCACTACCTGATATTACGTTACCTGATGATATTACATTACAAGCTGATATTACGTCACAATCCGATACTATATCACAAGCTGAAATTACACCATCTGATACCACATCCGAGGTTACATCGCCAGTTGATATTACATCACAGGTCGGTGTTACGCACCTAGCTGATATAACACCACCAACTAATACTACACTACAAGCTGATATTACACCAAAAGACGATGTTACATTACCAATTCGTATTACTCCACAAGCTGTTACTACATCACAAACTAAGATCACATTACCAGATAATATCCCATTACAAACTGATGTCATATTACCATCTGACACGTCATCACAAGCTGATATTACATCACCTGATGATACAACATCAATAGTTGATATTAACTCACCAGCTGATGCTACATCACAAGTTGGCATTACATCAACAGATGATACTACATCACAAGCTGATATTGCATCACAAACTGATATTACATTACAGGCTGATATTACATCATACGATGCTGTTACATCACAAGTTGATATAACACATATTACACATCATGTTGATATTACAGCACAAGCTGATACTACATCACCAATTGATAATACACCACATCCCGATACTACATCACTATGGGACATTACACCAATAGTTGACAGTGCACCACAAGTTGATTCCATATCACAAGCCTACATTACACCTGAAGCTGACATTACTTCACAAGCTGATGCTACATCACTATCTTATATTACACCTGATGTTGATACTACACCACAAGCTGATACTACAGTACAAGCTGATATTACATCACCAGTTGACAGTGCACCAAAAATTGATTCCCCATCACACGCTGATATTATATCACTAGCTGATACCACATCACACACTGGAACTACACCCCTAGCTGATAATACACCGCACATTTATACTACACCAGAAGCTGGTATGACACGACATGTTGATATTACATTTAAGGATGATATTACATCACAAATTGATACTACACCACAAGCTGATATTACACCACAAGCTTATACTACACCAGAAGCTGGTATTACATCACAAGCTGATATTGCAGGACCATCTGATACCACACCATACACAGATACAACCTCACCAGCTGATACTACACAACATGCTGATACTACATCACAGGCTGATATTATATTACAAGCTGATATTACATTACTAGCTGATATTACACCACTAGCTGATATTACATCACAAGCCGGTACTGATAGTACATCCGTAGCTGATATTACATCACAAGGTGATATTACACCTCATGTTGATATTAGGTCACAAGCTGATATTACATCACAAGCAGGTACTACCCCAGCAGCTGATATTGCATCACAGGCTCATATTACCTCACAACCTGATACAACACCACTGACTGATATTACACCACAGGCTGATACTACACAACAAACTGATACTACATTACCAGCTGATATTACATCACTTGCTGATAGTACATCACATGCCGGTACTACACCTCCAGCTGATATTACTCCACAAGCGTATGCTACACCAGAGGCTGGTACTACACCTGATATTGATATTACATTTAAGGCTGATATTACATCACAAACTGATACTACATCACCTTCTGATACTACATTACCAGCTGATACAACATCACCAGCTGACACAACATCACCAACTGATACTACACAACAAGCTGATACTACACAACAAGCTGATGTTACATCACAGGCTGGTAATACATTACCAGCGGACATTACCCTACCAGCTGACACTATAACACCAGCTGACACTACGCCACCAGCTGACACTACACCGGGAGCTGATATTACATCACTAACTGATATTACATCACACGCCAGTACTACACCTCCATTGGATATTACATTACCAACTGACACTACACCGGCAGCTGATATTACATCAGTAGCTGATATTACATTAGTAGCTGATATTACATCACAAAGCGGTACTACATCTTCAGCCGATATTACATCACAAGCTTATACTACACAAGCAGCTGATACTACATCAAAAGCTGATATCACATCTCGTGTTGATATTACTTCACAAGCTGATATTACATCACAAACTGATACTAAACCACCAGCTGATATTACACCACCATCTGATACTACACCACGAACTAATACTACATCACAGGCTGATATTATATCACAGGATGGTATTACATTACCAGTTGACATTACATCACTTGCTGATAATACACCACAATCCGGTACTACACCTGCAACTGATAGTATACCACAAGCTTATACTACACCAGAACCTGATATTACACCTCATGTTAATATTACATTTACGGCTGATATTACATCACAAACTGATACTACACCACCCGCTGATATTACATCACAAACTGATTCTACACCACCCGCTGATATTGCACCGCCATCTGATACTACATTGCCAGCTGTTACAACATCACAAGCTTATACTACACAAGCAGCTGATACTACACAACAAGCTGATATTACATCACTAGCTGATATTACATCACTAGCTGATATTACATCACTTGCTGATATTACAACACACGCCGGTTCTACAGCTCCAACTGATATTACATCACACGCTTATACTACACCAGCAGCTGATACTACATCACAAGCTGATATTACACCCCATGCCGATATTACGTCACAAGCTGATATTACATCACAAACTGATACTAAACCACCAGCTGATATTAGACCACCATCTGATACCACATCACCAGCTGACACTATACCACTAGCTGATATTACATCACCGGTTGATATTACACCACCAGCTGGTATTACGTCAGCATCTGATACCACATCACACACTGTTACTACACCACAGACTAAAGCTGATAGTACACCACAAGCTAATATTATATCAGAGGCTAACATTACATTACCAGCTGACACTACACAACCAGCTGATATTACATCAATAGCTGATATTACATCACACGCCAGTACTACACCTCCAGCGGATATTGCATCACAAGCTTATACTACACAAGGAGCTGATACTATATCAGAAGCTGATGTTACACCTCATGTTGATATTACATCACAAGATGATATTACATCACAAACTGGCTCTACAGCAACAGCGGATATTACACCAACATCTGATACTACACAACAAGTTGATATTATATCACAAGCTGATATTATATCACAAGTTGATATTACATTACCAGCTAACATCACACCACCAGCTGATATTACATCACTTGCTGACATTACATCACAAGCCGGTACTAAATCTCCAGCTGATATTACACCAGATGCTGGTACCACACCTCATGCTGATATTACATTTAAGGCAGGTATTACATCACAGACTGATACTACACCACAAGCTGATATTACACCACCTTCTGATACTACATTACCAGCTGATACAACATTACAATCTGATACTTCTCAACAAGCTAATATTATATTACCAGCTGATATTACCCCATCAGTGGATATTACATCACAAGCTGATATTACATTACCAGCTAGCAAAACAACACCCGCTGATATTACATCACAAGCCGGTACTACAGTTCCAGCTGATAATACATCACAAGCTTATACTATATCAGCAGCTGCTACTACATCACAATCTGATATTACACCTCATGATGATATTATATTTAAGGCTGATATTAGAACACTAGCTGATATTACAACACCTTCTGATACCACATCGCACACAGATACAACATCACCAGCTGATACTACACAACACGCTGATACCACAAAACAAGCTGATACAACATTACCAGCTGATATCACATCGCCAGATGACACTACACCACAAGCTGAAACTATACCACCATCTGATATTACACCACCATCTGATACCACATCACCAGCTGACACTACACCACAAGTTGATATTACATCACCGGTTGTTATTACACCACCAGCTGATATTACATCAACAGCTGATATTACATCAACAGCTGATATTACATCAACAGCTGATATTACATCAACAGCTGATATTACATCAACAGCTGATATTACATCACCATCTGATATTACATCACAAGATACACCGTTATATATAAAGTCATCACCTGATACAACAACAACTTCTGATTCAACCACATCATCTGATACAGCCAGAACTTCTGTTATAACAGACGCAACCACAACATCTGATATAACGGATACAACATCATTTGATATAACAGATACACGTACGCAGTCACCATCAAATAAAACGCATCCGTTTGATGAAACGACATTCCATACAGCTGCCTCGTCAGCACCAACTGATAGCAGAACAGTAGCTTTTGATAAACCCCAGTCATATGATGAAACAACATCATCGTCTCTTACAAGGACATCTGATACGACATTATCTGAGACACCGATGTCGGATAGAAAACCATCTGATAAAACAACACCATTTGACATAAAACCACCATCGGATACTGTAGAAGAATATGTTACACCAATATCATCTGGTATTAATATCACAGTATCTGATGCAACGACATCATATGATACAAAAGCCTCATCAGCTACAACGACATCTTCTGGTGCAATAATGTTATCTGATACAACGACATCTTCCAATATAATGACGCCATCTGATACATCGTCACCATATGACGTAAATACATCAAAAGACATAACAATATTATCTGATGTATCAACTGATGCAGCAGTATCATCTGATGCAAAGACGTCATCTGATGTAAAGACGTCATCTGATACAACGACATTACCCGGTACTACCACACGATATGATGCAGCAACATCATCTGATGCAACGGCGTCATCTGGTGGCACGACATCATCTGATGTAACGGCGTCATCTGGTGGCACGACGTCATCTGATGGCACGACGTCATCTGGTGGCACGACGTCATCTTATGCAAGGACATCATCTGACATAACATTATCTGACGTAACAACATATTCTGATGTAACGACACCAACTGATGCAGTAACACCATCTGATACAACGACATCAACTGAAACAACGACATCATCTGATGCAAGGGAGTCATCTGATACAACCATATCATCTGACGTAACGACGTCCACTGATACAATGAAATTATCTGGCGTAACGACTGCATCTGACGTAACTTCATCTGACACAAAGACTGCATCTGGTGCAACGACGTCATCTGACGCAATGACATCATCTGATGCAACTACATCATCTGACACAACGACATCATATGACGTAACGACATCATATGACGTAACAACATCATATGACGTAACATCATCTGACATAACGACATTAACAGATGCAACAACATCATCTGATACAACGACGTCAACTGACACAAAAACGTCATCTGGCGCAACGACGTCCACTGGCGCCACGACGTCATTTGATAAAACGACATCATCTGATGCAACAACATCTTCTGAAACAACGACAGCATCTGACGTAACGACATTTTCTGAAGTAAAGACATCAACTGATGTAACAACACCCTCTGATACAACTGCATCATCTGATATCACGAAATTATTTGATACAACGACGTCATCTGGTGCAACGGCGTCATTTGAATTAACGACAGCATCTGACGTAACATCATCTGATACAGAGACGCCATCTGACACAAAGACTGCATCTGACATAGCGACATCATATGACGTAACATCATCTGACGTAACGAAATTAACTGATACAACAACAACATCTGCTACAACGACATCAAATGACACAAAGACGTCATATGGCACAACGACGTCCCATGGCGTCACGACGTCATCTGATGCAACAACATCTTCTAATACAACGACAGCATCTGATGTAACGACAACATCTGACGTAACGACATCTTCTGAAGTAAAGGCATCAACTGCTGCAACAACACCATCTGATACATCGACAATATCAGAATCATCGGATATAAAGAAATTATTTGATACAACGATGTCATCTGGTGCAACGGTGTCATCTGATGCAAAGACGTCATCTGGCACAACGACGTCCCATGGCGTCACGACGTCTTCTGATGCAACAACATCTTCTAATACAACGACAGCATCTGACGTAACGACAACATCTGATGTAACAACAGCATCTGACGCAACGACATCTTCTGAAGTAAAGGCATCAACTGCTGCAGCAACACCACCTGATACAACGACAATAACTGATACAACAGAATCATCTGATATAAAGAAATTATTTGATACAACGATGGCATCTGGTGCAACGGCGTCATCTGATGCAACGACATCATCTGATGTAACTACTTCATCTGACGTAACTACATCTTCTGATACAAAAACAACATTAGATAAAACTATGTCATCTGGTTCAACGTCATCATCTGATTCAACGTCATCATCTGATGCAACAACCACACTGTCTGGTTTAACAGAAACCTCAACCTCCCTTGACCTCGGGGTAAGCAGTCATGTGGATTCGTTCATTGCTGTGTCTCAGAAGCGTACAAATTATGATCCATTGTTATCTGAAATCACTGCAAGTACTGATCATTCAACTCTGTCTGATACCATTTTTGAAGCCTCATCTTATGCATCTACCGACATGTCAAGTTCTGCTACTGAACCCGATTCTGTAGTTACGGAAATTCCTATGACAAGTCTATCAACAACAACTAGTGATTTATTCTTTACTGATCCCGAAAGTCAGACGCAATTAGGTGAAAGCTCGACATACTCGGAAGATGAGAGAATTACCAAAGCAACTTCTGTCAAGTTGCCACCAACAAGCTCTATTCCAATTGATAGACACGCAAGTAGTACGAAAATACCCTTTTCCCCAGTAGATATTTCTAATCCCACTTCTGACCCCCCTTTCCTTGCCGAAGCGGACTATTCATTTCTACAAACGACAGATATCAGAATAGAATCGCAAATGAAAAAGACGAGTAACATATCTGATGATACGATGGCAAGTGTTACTGGAAACGAAACATCTCCAAAACCCTTTACAGAGGACAGAATTCTAAACGAAACGCAAATTAAAGAGGGGACTGTTGACAAACGCGTCACCCCCATAGATATTAAAGATTCCCTCAAAGACATCGCATCTATCTCAACTACTCCCGTAACGTCATCATCGGTTAAACTAGTTGATACAATATTAGATGAAACAACGGTAGTGGAATCAACGAATTCCGTAATAATAGCTTTCACGAATGAAAAAATCATACATGAGACAATTACAACTGCTGATACGAAAATACCCATAGAAACATCAACTGTCTTCGACGAAAAACCGTCAATGATATCTATATCACCGAGTGTGACATCAAGCCCGGATGAACTAAAATCTACATTATTCAGTGAAACGTCAACCCCAGATGAAACAACGGCTACGCTGGACGAAATATTAATCCCGGATCCAACCGCCATCCCGAATGAAAATACTACTTCGTTTGATTCTCCAGCTACACTTGGTCTGAGTAAAGCAACAATCTCCGATGTAACAAAACCTACGCTTGGTAAAATAACAATTGCAGATGTAACAGGCACAACAGCCGGTGACACAGCCATGCCAGATATATCAAGCACTACACTGAGTGAAAACAAAGTACCAGATGTAAGTACTGCGCTGAGTCAAACAACAATCTCATCTGTAAAGAGCACTGAGCCGCGTGAAGCAACAAAACCAGATGCAATAAGCTCTACACTGAGTGAAACCGCTGAAGAAAGTACTGCACTGAGTAAAACAACAATCTCAACAGTAAAGAGTACTAAGCTGCGTGAAGCAACAAAATCAGATGTAACAAGCTCTACACTGAGTGATACCGAGGAAGCAAACACTGCGCTGGGTGAAACAACAATCCCAGGTGTAACAAGCACTACGTTGAGTGAAACAACAATCTCAGATGTAACAAAAACTATGCTTGGTAAAATAACAACCTCAGATGTGACAAGCACTACACCGGATGAAACATCAATCTCAGATGAATTTGTATCATCTACAGATACTGGTATATCTAGAGATACTGGCACATTTACATCTACAGATAAAACCACATCTACAGATGAACCAACATCTACAAATGAATCAACGTCTACAGATACAACAACATCTACAGATACTACAATATCTACAGATAAAACAACATCTACAGATAATACAACATCGGCATATACTACATCTACAGATGTAACATCTACAGATGCAACATCTACAGATAAAACATCTACAGATAAAACATCATATACAGATGAAACATCATATACAGACGAAACATCATCACATACAAATAAAACCACATCTACAGATACCACAATATCTACGGATGAAACCACATATACGGATAATACAACATCTACCGATAAAACCACATCTGATGATAAAACAACTTCTCCAAATGCTACATCTACAGATACTGCAACATCTACAGATAAAACCACATCTCCGGATAAAACCAAGTCTACAGGTAAAACCACGTCTACAGGTAAAACCACATTTTCAGATAAAACCATATATACAGATAAAACATCAAAAGATGAAACCACATCTACATATAGTACAACGTCTACAGATGAAACAATATCTGCAGATACTACAACGTCTGTAGATATTACAACATCTACAGATATTACAACATCTACAGATGGAACATATAAAGATAAAACCACAACTGCGGATAATACAACATCTACGAATGAAACCACATCTACGAATGAAACCACATCTACGGTTGAAACCACATCTACGGATAATACAACATCTACCGATAAAACCACATCTACCGATGAAACCACATCTAAAGATAAGAGAACATCTCCAGATACAACATATCCAGATACAACATATCCAGATACTACAACATCTACAGATCAAACCAGATCTGATGATAAAACAACATCCACAGATACTATAGCATCTACAGATATTACAACATCTACAGATGGAACATATACAGATAAAACCACATCTGCGGATGGAATTGCATCTACCGATGAAACCACATTTATGGATGAAACCACAACGTCTACAGATGCACCAACATCTAAAGATACTAAAACGTTTACCCATGAAACCACAGATACTACAACATCAACGTATACTACAACATCAACAAATACTACAACATCAGCGTATACTACAACATCTACAGATGCAATCACGTATATAGATGAAACCACATCTACTGATACCGCAACGTCTACAGATGAACCAACATTTCAAGGTATTAAAACGTCTACAGATGGAAGTACAGCTAAAGATAAAACCACATCTAAAGATAAAACCACATCTAAAGATAATACAATATCTACAGATACTACCACATCGACGTATACTACAACTTCTAGAGATAAAACAACATCAATAGATGAAACGTCATATACAGATAAAACCACATCTATAGATACCACAACATTTACAGATAAAACCACATCTGATGATAAAACAACATCCACAGATACTATAGCATCTACAGATACTACAACATCTACAGATATTACAACATCTACAGATGGAACATATACAGATAAAACCACATCTGCGGATGGAATTACATCTACGGATGAAACATATACAGATAAAACCACATCTGCGGGTGGAATTACATCTACAGATGGAACATATACAGATAAAACCATATCTGGGGATAGAATTGCATCTACCGATGAATCTACATCTACGGATAAAACAACATCCATAGATGAAACGCCATATACGTTTAGAATAACATCTATAGATACCACAACATTTACAGATACTACAACATCTGAAGATACTACAACGTCTACAGATAAAACAATATCTGCAAATACTACAACGTCTATAGATGAAACAACATCTACCGATGGAACATATACAGATAAAATCAAATCTGCGGATAATACAACATCTACCGATAAAACCAAATCTACGGATAATACAACATCTACCGATAAAACCACATATGATTATAAAACAACATCTCCAAATGTTACAACATCTCCAGATATTACAACATCCATAGATACTGCAACATCTACAGATAAATCCTCATCTCCGGATAAAACCACATCTACAGGTAAAACCATATTTTCAGATAAAACCACATTTTCAGATATAACCATATATACAGATGAAACGGATGAAACCACATCTACATATAGTACTAAGTCTACAGATGAAACAATATCTGCAGATACTGCAACGTCTGTAGATGAAGCAACATCTACAAACGGAACATATACAGATAAAACCACATCTAATGATGGAATTACATCTACGAATGAAACCACATCTACACTTGAAACCACTTCTACGGATAATACAACATCTACCTATAAAACCACATCTACCGATGAAACCACATCTAAAGATAGGAGAACATCTCCAGATACTAAATCTCTAGATACTACACTAACTACAGATGAAATCACATTTTCAGATAAAACGATATTTACAGATAAAACCACATCTGATTATAAAACAACACCCATAGATACTATAGCGTCTACAAATATTACAACATCTACAGATAAAACAACATCTACAGATAACATCACATTTATAGATGAAACCACATCCACAGATGAAACCACATCCACAGATGAAACCACATCCACAGATGAAACCAAATCTTCAGATACTACAACATCTACAAATACTGCAACATCTACGTATAGTGCAACACATACAGGTGAAATCACGTCTATTGATACCACAACGTTTACAGATGCACCAAAATCTAAAGATACTAAAACGTCTACCGATGAAACCACAGATACTGCAACATCTACGTATACTACAACATCTACAGATACAACAACCACAACGTCTACAGATGTACCAAAATCTAAAGATACTGAAACGTCTACCGATGAAACCACATATACTACAACATCTACGTATACTACAACATCTACAGATACAACAACATCAACGTATACCACAACATCTACAGATGCAATCGCGTATATAGATGAAACCACAACTACTGATACCACAACTTCTACGGATGAACCAACTTTTCAAGATACAAACACGTCTACAGCTGAAGATAAAACCACATCTATATATACTACCACATCAGCGTTTACTACAACATCTACAGATAAAACAACATCAATAGATGAAACGCCATATACAGATAAAACAATATCTACAGATACTAAAACATCTACAGATAAAACCACACCTGATGATAAAACAACATCCACAGATAAAACTATATCCACAGATAAAATCACATTTACAGATGAAACCACATCTACAGATGAACAAACATCTACAGATGGACCAACGCCTACAGATACTACAACATTTATAGATAAATCAACATCTACGGATACCACAAAATCTACAAAAACAAGATCTGAAGATACTACAACGTCTACAGATAAAACAATATATGCAGATACTACAACATATGCAATTGAAACAACATCTGGAGATGAAACAACACCTGAATATAACATAACATCTGCATATACAACAGTGTCTACAGATAGAATCAAATCTAAAGATAAGACAACATCTCCAGATACTGTAACATCGCCAGATACAACCACAACTACAGATAAGACCAGATCTACAGATAAAACCACATTTACAGATACTACATCTCCAGATACTACAATACCTACAGATAAAACCACATCTAAAGATAAAACCACATCTCCAGATACTACAACATCTATAGATAAAATTACATCTGATGATAAAATAACATCCGCAGATACTATAACATATACGGATACTAAAACATCTACAGATGCTACAACATCTACAGATAAAACCACATCTGATGATAAAACATCTACAAATACCATAACGTCTACAGATACGACAACGTCTATAGATGAAACAACATCTACATATACTACAGCATCTACAGATGGAACATATACAGATAAAACCATATCTATTGATGGAATTACATCTACGGATGAAACCACATATACGGATAATACAACATCTACCGATAAAACCACTTCTGATGATAAAACAACATCTGATGATAAAACAACATCTCTAGCTACTACACCATCTCCAGATATTACAACATCTACAGATACTGCAACATCTACAGATAATACACCATCTAGCGATAAAACCACATTTACAGATGAAACAACACCTACAGATAAAACATCATCTACGGATACTACGACATCTAAATACACCACAACGTCTACAGATGAAACCACATCTAAATATGAAACCAAATTTCAAGATACTACACCATCAATAGATAAAACAACATCTACAGTAAAAACAACATCTGCAGATGAAACCACGTCTACAGATGAATCCATATCTACAGAAGAAACTACATCTACAGTTACTACAACATCTACAGATATCACATCTACAGATAAAGCCTTATCTAAAGATGAAACCACACTTACATATGAAACTCCACCCACAGATACTACAACATCTTTAGATACTACAATATCTACAGATAAAACCATATCTACAGATAAAACCATATCTACAAATAAAATCACATCTACAGATGAAATTAAATCTACAGATACTACAACGTCATTAACAGATGAAACCACATCTACAAATGAAACCACGGCATCTACTCATACAAAATCACACACTGCTGAAACTACTCGGCTAGATGAAGCACAACCTTCAGACAAAGCATTCCCAACCCTCATATCTACACCTGTAAACCAAGGCACCCCTACATTTAGTGATCAAACTACACCTTCAGACAAAACAGTAGCTACCTATGATATTATACATTTAGACGATAAAACATTTATATATGAAACAAAACCTTCTGATAAAACAATAACTACATATATGACCATATCTACAAATGAAAACACATCTCTGAGTGTAACAGATCAAGATATAACTTCAACCACAGTAACCATACCACCTACACACAAAAAGGAATCTTCAGTCACATCAACAGATAGTTTATATACCGTAGAAAAACCGCCTGTAACTGAAATGACAATTATGGATGAAACAATTTCAAACGACACAATCTTAAACAGAGGTATGACGAGACCAACAGTTCCAGCAATTACATTAAAAGATATCTTAAGGCCGTCTTCAACACAAAAACAGGACACGCCCACTTCATCAGGGGAATCTAGTGAAACAAGTAGTGAACGTATAGCAATGGGTCAATTACATACCGACACAACAACCCCACTGTGGTCTAGTTCCCCGAGATCTTCTTCAGTTGCTAAAACAAGTAGTACGGAGGCGGGTAGATCAGTATCAGATTCTCCGCGATTTTCCATCTATACTGATGTAGCAACGCGAACATCTAAAACCGAATCACCCATAGACAGTGAAACTACTCCTCGTTTAGATAGCACATACCATAAACCAACAGCATCGCCTTCAAAACAAACATTATCATACACACGCCAAACCACCCCCATCTATCCAACCCAACAGACAACAGAAACGATTCTAATAGAATCCATGGGGAAGAAAAATACTTCAGTTGTCCAGGCTGGAGATAACAGAGTGATAGCTACCTCAAGTCCAAAGATTACAGTCGGTTCAGGGGAAGATGAAACGTTTGATATAACTACACTCACAATGGAAAGCACTCTAGGCCAAACAAGTGGTGGTGTGGATGAGGAAACGTCGTCTTTTATCCCAATGGAAATGACTAGGAGTCCATCAACTGATGCCATTTTAAGTTCCGCCTACACTGTATCTTCACCTTCATCAGATAGCAAAGTAATTGATGTTGAAGCCGCCACAGGTACTGTATGGATGGGTAGCTGACCTTGTTTAGAAGAACCAGTCATCTTCCTAGTTCAAGTAGTTGGTTAGTGCTTATAGAACAACAAATAGACTGGAGAGGTAGCGATGATAAATGCATTTAGAGGTAGATGAAATATCTAGCAAGAACAAATTACATGTAGAGATAGAATTTGTAGAATATTAGTACCTTTCATTTCATTGTCATGATCTGACGTCTGAATATTATTGTTCGTTAAAGTAACACAAAAACAAGACCTACCATTCCTGAAATCGCATTAATTAGATATCAGGTCTAGTTATATGAATCTAATGCTTGTAGGGGATATAAAATGTAATAGAAATAAACAGCATCAAATTAACATCGTTCATAAAATTAATAATTATGTGTAGTTAGATTTAGATAGAGACATCTGGTAAGTAAATAGTTCTTGTATTGTAATAATCAGCATCCAGTCATAAATTCCAATCATGTTGACATGTAAATTAGACCGGAAAATCTGCTTTAAATGACGCCAGACTTGTTCCTTCGTCACGACTTGCTCCTAAGCAGAGTTGTCTTCTCTTGCAGTTCACTCTAATGCTTTATCTGAATAGGAGAATGACGCCTCAATCATTTCGTCTTATGATTAAATAGGTCAGAACGATGTGACGTAGGACCGGGTCTGACGTATTGGAGCCGGTTATCCAGTCTACATTTACATACATGTACTAACAAATCAAACCGTTTTTGTGAAACACGTTTCAGGTGGATTGAGAGTAGCTGTCAATATTATCCTAGTCTTCAATAAACTGAATCCAAACCAAAATGCAAATTTACATATGTACAAACAAGAAACAAGGGCGCTTCTAAACGCATTCAACGCGCTTTTGGCCCCGGCTTTTCTCATAATGTGTGTGTGTTGTTATGTATCTCTGTAATTGGTGAAAACGGAATAAAATTTAATATTGTGTATAGTAATGTGTACAGTGTTTTCTTTATGTTCCATTATCATTTTGCATTGAATGTTGCCTTATTACCCTAGTGCAATGTTTACCATTTATGCTTTTAGCTATAGCTTAGAATTTACAATAGCATGTTATCGTGTCCATATATACGATGTATTCCTGTCTATATATAAATATATTCGATTCTGTGACAAATAATTTATTTTATAATAAATGATGCTCACGTGTAGCTACAGTAATTTTTGATCAACCAGTTCAAATATTCAGCGTTCTGTTGTTTATTTTTTGTCATGATTTTAAAGTTTAGTAATTGAATCTATTTTCTAATTTGCATTTGCACAAATATAATTTTTAAACAGTGATTCTTATAGCTCTTGAAGAATAAAAAGCTGCAATAATTTGCAAACCTATTCTTCTGGTCTTTTTCAGGTGATACTACTGCAGCAACAGAAACCACGGGTGAGTGCACTGGGTGTTTTGGCGCAATATATCCAAGTTGGTGCTGACGTACTATAAAACATTTTATTTCATTTATTGGGTGTTATTTATCAAGTCCAATGACATTTCTCTCTGTGTACACGCGATTTAATGTTGGCAAATTTTAATGTTATAGAAATGGCTTTTATAAGGTGTTGGCTCACTAACCGGGGGGTCTGGGGATTTGAACCAGGTGTTGACTGAGAAAATTCCTTGGTATTTTCAAACCTGCTTTCCCTTATTTCTTAGTTCAAATTAACACCTGAAGTAGCTAGCAGGTTTGGTTTAAAAAATAGAGGGCTATGTATTTTGAGCTGCTAATGATAATCATGTTTGCAATCACCTTCCTTCTATTTTAGCGAGCTCTGATTTACAGACCAATATAACGACATCGGGAGCTGCGAACAAAACTTCAGAACCAGTAACAGGTAATTTTAACTTATAAATTAGTGTTTGTTAATGCCAGGTTTAGTTCGTTATAGACTAAGCAACTTTTCTGAAATTTGTAGGGATATGATTTGGTGCACATAAATCGTGGAATTTTTGCACTGACGTTCATGGATATTCAAATTCGAAAACTTTGGAAAACGGCCGTGTAATTTAAATGTTTGATTAAAATTAATGACTGGAATATTCTTACTTTTCAGATCTAATTAGTTCTGGTGATGTCCTTAGTGGTCTGTCTGAGAACACTAGCCCTGCTCCGGGCCTAACATCAACCCTTGGAAAAGGTGTGATCACAGAAAAATCTACAGCCCATTACTCTCCCGCAGGTATCATTACCGAAGACACAACTCCAACTGCCAAAACGAACATCACCGAAACGCCTACACCACCATTCATCCCAGGTGGATCTGGGGCTGATTTAACAACTCCTGGACCGGTAGTGGTATCTGGTTCTACCGACGTACCGTTTTCTGGGCCAACGGTCGAGGGATGGATTACAAGTGGAATTAGCGATATCATGTTATCATCAGTGGATCCAGTAATTCACGGTGAGAGTACAACAAGTGTTCCGCAAGTGGATGACACAAATGTCACTTTAACAGAAAGTTCAGTGACGACTAACCTCCCAGTGTCCCTTGAGTCCAGTGTTTCAACTGATTTGGACAGAGATGATTCATATACGACAAGTGGTGAGATTACAACTTTATTCCAGTCTAGTTCTTTCGCTTCCGCTGAACTTTCATCTGATTCAACTGTCTCTGAAACTGTCACGGATATAACATCGCAAGTATCAACTGATAGAGAAGCAACAACCGTCGAAAGTCTTCTAACCAAAGAAAATGTATCTGATATATTTATGACAAGCGGGGAAGCAGTCGTAGTATCTGGGTCAACTCCACTTCAAAGTGGAGAAACCATCATGACAACGCCAACAGAAACAGAAACAGAAACCGACACAGACACGAGTGACTCAACAACTGATGGGGACAGGTCGACGGATGGTGTAATGATAACAGGGGCTATAACTTTCTTGCCAACTGTATCAGATCAAACTACTTCTCTAACATCTCCTCCTGTAACAGACTTCTCGTTTGCAACTGAAAGTGGTGAATCGTTAGATTTTTCAACCTCCGTTTTCTTCTCTGGTACAACGGACCAAACTGCTGATCTAACTACTTTATCTGCAACTTCGGCCCAACCAACAAGCACAGAAACAGTCGACGGCAGCACTGATCTCGTAACTGATGAAACAGCAGATATTTACAGCACCTATGACAAGGATACAAGTACTGGATTTACCACACCAAGTTCTGATATTACGGATATACCAGATTTGAGTTCTGGATTTACCATACCAAGTACTGATATTACGGATATACCAGATTTGAGTTCACCAAGTGTAACGTGGTCGGGTGATAGAAAAGACTTTCAGTCGACAACAGATTTGTCCATCTCAGATCTTACTGATTCTGTCACTTCAACTGATGCTATTTCCACTAGCCCTGCCTTATCTGGAGACATTTCTACGCTATCCACTTCTTCTGGCGATCTTTCCATTGTCTCTGTCATGACCTCGCTAGACTCTGATACCTCAAGTGATTCGCACTCTACTCTTATTACAGATGTTACAGGCACTACTGTAACTGATGTTGGGGTCACGGATCATAAAGTTACAGATGGATATGGTTACGAAACAACAACTGATTTTGGTATAGGATCGGGTATCAGCGAGCAGCCAGGTTCTGGACTAACAACTGAATTTAGTGTGGGCTCTAGTACTGAATATAGTGTTGATTCTAGTACTGAATCTAGTGTTGACTTTATTACTGAATCTAGTGTGGACTCTAGTACTGAATCTATTGTGGACCCTAGTACCGAATCTAGTGTGGACTCGAGTACGGAATCGAGTGTGGAAATAAGTACAGAGTTATCAAGTACTGAATATAGCGTGGACTCAAGTATTTTAGAATCTACTGTTGACACAAGCACCGAATCACCAAGCACTGATGTAAGGTCCGAGACTAGTGGTGTTTCGAGTGCAGATTACACAACAAAATCAATTTTCGAACCAACTTCTGAATCTGGCGTAGAATTAACGACCCAGTCAAGTCTTTACCTGTCCACCGATTTTAGTGGACTTCCAACTGAAATTTCAGCTTCTGGATCAGGTATTGATTCGACTACCCGATCAAGTGCAGTGACCTATTTCAGTGGATATGTAACGGATTTAACTACGGAGGCTGGTGATGATTTCACTACACATTCGGGTATAGGTTCAGATGACTTTACAACTCGATTGATTATAGACAAAAGTACCGATTATAGTGAAGCTACAACTAAATCTAGTATTGATGCCATTACAGATGTTACTGAAATTACCACGGAATCTAGTGCTGACTCAAGCACTGGATTTAGTGCTGACTCAAGTACTGAATCTATTATTTACTCAACTACGGAATCTAGTGTAGACTCAAGTACTGAATCTAGTTTGGAATCGAGTACTGAATCTAGTGTGCACTCAAGTACCGAATCTGTTGTGGACTCAAGTACTGAATCAAGTGTGAAATCAAGTACTGAATCTAGTGTGGAATGGAGTACTGAATCTATTGTGGACTCTAGTGCCGAATCTAGTGTGGACTCAAGTACTGAATCAAGTGTGGAATCGAGTACTGAATCTAGTGTAGAATCGAGTACTGGATCTAGTGGGCAGTTAAGTACAGATATTAGTTGGGTTACAACCGAATCTAGTGTGGAGGCAAGAACCGATTACAGTGGACTTACTACCGCGGTTAGTGATTCCAGTACTGGGTTAAGTACAGATTCTAGTACTGATGTAAGCGGTATAGTAACTGATTCGTTTTCGAAGACAAGTAAGAAATTTACTACCGAAGCCACACAATTAAGTACGGAATCAAGCGTTGATTCCAGTGCCGATTACGTAGGTACTTCTACAGAATCAACCACAGATATAAGCTCAGCAGATTATAGTGGAATGACAACCGAATACAGTGGATTGGTGACGGAGAGGGAAATTGTTACCGACTCTACTACTGATGATTCAACTACTCCTTTGAGCACCGAATATAGTGGATGGGTGACAAAAAGTGAAGTTGTTACCGACTCTACTGCTGACTTCACTGATTTTAGTGGGGTCACAATCGACTCGAGCACAGATTCAAGTTGGGTAGATGCTAGCACGGGATCGGATTCACTTATTCAACGGGGGTCGACTACCGATTCGATAACACATTCTGGTGTATATACGACCGATGATTTTGAACAAACCACTACTGACAGGATTATTGACGATACATCTACCTTCTCTGGGTATGAATCCACAACCACAACCACTGAACCACAAGAACCCACACAATCTAGTTTAGAAGTAGGTTATCGATCCACGGATGTTTTTGTAACTTCTGGAGATGATTTAAGTTTTTCTAGTACCAGTCTTTCTACTGAAATTCCTGTTTCGGGTAGTGGTCATATTACCAGGGAAACGTCCCCAATGCCTTTCACTGGTATTTCCAAAGAGTTTACAACACAACCTTCACGTGGAGTAAGCAAGGAATTGACCACGGATGTTTCGCAAAAGTCAACATCATCAGATATCGCCTCGTCGGTATCTACCGATTGGTTGGAAGCATCAACAGAGGACTACACAGTAAAATCAACGATAGAACCAATCACGGATATCAGTGGATCAACGAGCGAATGGACTTCCACTGACGACAGTGAGTCGAGTACAGTAGCCCAAACGACAACCAGACTTTATGAGATACTTTCCACGCTGGATTCTAGATCTAAGAAAACTACAGAGAAAACTGCTGAACCTACAGACGTTTATTACTCCACATCCGGAGAATCGACCACAGAACAGATCGAAGACGAAACTACAACGGAACTTCCAGATTCCTCCACCGGAATAGCATCAACTTTCACCTCCTGGCTATATTCAACATTAGCTCCGTATCTCCCTACTGCAGAGGAAAAGAAGGAGACAACAACTCAAGGCGGTGAATCTCAGTACCTAACCACTACAGTGGAGACAGGCGTGGCCACATCAACACCCGTCGAATTGGCGACAGCAACCACAGTCAGTCCTATGTCGGCTACAATTTTTGTTTCGAGGACACGTGGCAGTCGAAGAACCACTATCGTCACACCACCGCCTACCACACCAAGAAAGACATTCACTGCTTTTATTGGTGGTATAACATCTGTTGTTCGCATTCAGAAAGGAAGGCCCCCTCCTTCAAGGAAGGATATTTATATTAATGTTGATGTCGGACGAAATGCTACAAGTACTGGCAATGCCACGATGGGACCTGGGGCTCAAACAAATGAAACAAACGCTACCTTACCAACCGCTACAATCGTAATGACAAGAGTTATTAAGAAGGTGTACCAACGAGGAAGGGAGGTCGCTCTAGCAATATATCGCAGGTCAAGACAAGTCTTACGGTCAACATTGAAAAAATTAGCAAAACTATGGACTTTGGCTAGGACGGGAGTGTTGAATTTAGTAATAGTTCCATATCAGCGAGGCAGGCAGTTTTTCCGATCAAAACTTACAAATATGTTCACAAGTATACGAAGTGCTTACGAGTATGGAAAGACTGTTTTAAGAAATACATATGACACAGTTAAATCTAAAGTTTTTAATTTTTATAACAAACTTAGTAATTATTATCGTAGGCTATACAATTATTATTATAATTATTTTTCTAAGTATTCAGTATATACTGGGCAAAGAAACAGATATATTAGCAATGGGACACAATCGTCTCAGTTGACTCGGTCCCAGCAAAGGCAGTCCCCATATAATGGACAACGTAACACATATGGTAACAGTGGGGCGCAATCGCCTCTATCAGCTGGGCCACAGCAAAGGCAGTCCACATATACTAGACAACGTAACGCATATTATGGTAACAGTCGAGCGCAATCGCCTCTATCATCTCGGCCACAGCAAAAGCAGTCCACGTATAATGGGCAACGTACCACATATGGTAGTAGTGGAGCGCGGTCGCCTCTGTCAGCTGGGCAACAGCAAAGGCAGTCAACATATACTGGGTACAGTAACACATATGGCAACAAAGGAAGACAACCGCCTCTTTCAGCTCAGCCACAGCAAAGGCAGTCCACGTATACTGAGCAACGTAACACACATGGTAACAGCAGAACGCAATCGCCTCTGTCATCTGGGCCACAGCAAAATCATGCAACTTATATTGGTCAAAGAAAAAGCAATATAGCAGATTCGTCTTCGTCGGATCAGTCCCCGCAAAATTCATATTCACGCCAACAGCCTAATAATTAAATTCCTAAAAAATTCTTCCCCATGATCCTTTATGTCATTATGTCATCCGCAATTTGCCTTATTATTAATCACTGACACAATTTATTTTATAAACTTAAAGACACTAGAAAGAAGTCCATATTTTACATTAGTCAACTTTTGGAGATATGAGACATTCGTAATCTTAAATAATTCCACTTTGATTGTAGGGATTCAGTAACCTTAATGGTATTAGTGAAGTATTTATAAGACCTCAGTAATCTTACTTGGTTAGAAGGCCTATGTAATCTAACTTCATTACATTTATGACGATACTGATTTCTGGATTTTCATTTGAACACAATAATTGTCATGATATTTATGTTGAAAAATAGCTTACATGTATGCCTGGGACACAGTATGCGAATTTTATTCGCCTAAGTGCGGCCGAAGTATTCACCGCCAAAGTTACTCGGCCAATGTAGTGGATGCACAAGGCGAATGTCTGTGTCGGTTTCGTGGCGAATAGGCCGCCTGTATGTCTAAGGTACAGACACACTTGACAAAATTTGCTGACAGAGGTTTCGCCAGGATAATTCGCCGTAACAATTCGCCAAGTGTGTCCTAGGCATTATTGAACTGTTTGTTTTTATATAGCTTGCTTGACAAATCTGATATATTTTATAATAATTGTTTATGACTTATGTTTTATGGGGTTTGAGAGAGATCGTTCAGATTTGCTAATAAAGCTAAGACATGTAAATGAATAGCACTTACATTCAGGAGCAATCGTAACTAGGTGGCATTTGATTTAAGATTGTTCCATTGCCGCATTGTATTTTAGGTTGTTCACTGGGTACGGGTCTGGTAAGGCGTTCACTTTGATGTAAACACAAGATCCTTTGTTGTTCAGATTACCCTTGCTTTCCACTTTCGCGGTTTGATTTTTTTTTTTACTCATGTTTGATATTCCAGTTGCTATGTTTTGTGTATCGATGTTTTAACATTATAAAATTCATATTTTAAAGAAGCAACACCACTTTCAGGGTTGTCTTTTTTGCCGTTCTTTTAAATAATTTTTTTTAAAAAATGGGTATTTCAAAAATACTACCCATTGCTTTTCATGGCAATAGCTTGTTGATTTTGTTACATTTATTTCATATTCCAAGTATTATGTTTTGTAATTTTTGTAAACTTTGTAAATAATTCAATTATATTGTTACTACATTTATGTGCAAGAAGTACAACAGAGTTATGTCCCATTACGCTATTTAATTTCATGTTAAAGGACAATTTCGGTCATTGACGTTTGTTTATATGTTGTATTCGTCTAGTTTTAGATTAGTTTCAATACCTGAATCAGATATACCTGTCCTTTTATTTAGAACAGTAATTCCATAAAAAAAACTAGCAATGTTCTATATAAAACTGCACAATTCAAAGGCAATTATAATGTTAAACAATTCGGTTAAAATACTATTTATATATTTTCATCTGATCGTTTCGTATTTTCGAAATTGAAAATATCAAATAACGAAACGATATAGGATTTTGTGTTTTAATTATTTAAATTTAAATGAGATTATGATAATGTTTGTTTATTTGCTGTGAATAAAGCTTGTCAGTTTTTTTTTGTACATACACTTTTCATATATATAATTTGTGCAACTATAGTAATCAAAATGTGGATTATATACATGCATAATTATTAATTTAGGTTTTGTAAATAATTTTCAATTTTTTTTAAAATTTAAAGTTATGTATCAGTTTTTTTCTCATATTTGAAAAGATTTTCAATAATCTAAAGACATAATTAGAGATACACTATTACAATTTTTTTTATCAATAATGTCTTCAGTCAGATATTAATTTTAGAGTAAGGAAACACCAATATGATTTTCTGTTCTTCGGGAACACCTGTAAAAATAATTCGTCTTTATTTCTTGAAGAAAAAGACATACATGTGTAATTATAAACCAAAAGTGCTGTTCAAAATCAATTTTTAAGTTTTGGAATTTTAAACAAAATATCTTTTATGTGATTCAAGTGATTATATATCAAGACTACCAAAGAACAGAAAATCATATTGGTGGCCCAAAAACACACTCTCAGAATGGTTTAGGATTTAAGTAGGCCTATATATGAGGATTTCTTCATTTTGTAAATATGTATTAAATGCTTATTTCTGTGTACAAATATATAACTATGAACCCTATAATAATATTATAAGGTTTATATAATAAACTAACATTAGTTTTAAACTTTTAGAGGCGAGGGGGGGGGGGGGCATTGAATCCTATTTAGACTCGCTCCGAAGGCAGTCGAAGTGAGAATCCCTCATCTGCAACAATAATTTAAAAACCAAACGCAGTTGGTTGGACTGTTCAAAATCATTGACTTCCAAATTTTTAAGTTTTGAAATTTTGAACTGATCATCCTTCATGGCTATTTATTTTTGAAGACCCCGAAGAACATAAAATGAAATTGGTGTGGCCTTATGTGGTATTCTAATACACTTCGGGAGCACTCGGCAAACCTCGGCGGATTCCGTTATTCTATATCTAGATGTAGGGTACTGAAATCTGCTGGGGTTTGCCGAGTGACTACGGGAGGTATTCACACTTTTTCTTACTGTAAACCGATCTGTATTTACATTACATTCTCAAATTATCTCATATTACAATGTTCCCCATTTTTACTCTAATGTGGCTCGGAAATTACGCTATACGTCAATGTGTTGACTAGATGTTCCTGTTATGTATTGCATTGTATAGATTTATAATTTTATTATATTTCCTACTGTGTATAGAATCATTGAGCAATAAATAATTCAACATTCTGTAATCTGGTTTAATTGATGAGTGACTTACCTCCCTTGAATCGATTTCATTAACCTATCAGTTGTTCTGCTCCTAAACTGGGCTAAAGAAGATGGGCATACGTGTGCTATGAGGGAAATTTTGCCCGGGCAGCGGCACAACGGCCTACTCTTATATCGAATTCCAACTGACAAGGGATCTTTTACGTGCAGGCCAATGTGTACACGGGACCTCGTTTTTTCGTCCCATCCGAACGACTAGACACCTGTCCTTGTCAGGCCCTCCGTCCTGCATCACTGACAAGGGGAAACCATGCTGGAAAATCTGGATGAACTTTCTCGGCCAATGCAGGGATCGAACACCCGACCTCCAGGCTAGCGAGCCAGCGTCTTACCCACTTAGCCACGTGATCCCCTCATATGGAAATGAAATGGGGTTTAACATCCCAAAATATCCAAAGAAATGAAATGACATGAAATGGGGTATAACATCCTATACTGTTCTGTTCTGACTGCAGTGTGCCATGAGGGGAACTTTTCCAGGCCAGGGCACTACGGCCTAATGGCTACTCTAATTTCGTATTTCAACTTTTTTACGTGCATGCCATTTCTAAAAGCACTGTTTTAAACAGATAGAGAAATGGGGTTAAACGTCCACTCGACACAAACTAGTTTATTTCGGGACTAACATGTGGTTCAATTTTATTTTAAATCGCATGTTTGTAGGGCCTAGGCGTATTGAGGTTGGACTGGCAGGTAATTGAAGCTCACTACTTGACTCAATGACAGACCTTATGATGCAATGCTCACGCGTTAACAATTTGTTAACCCACACACACACCTCAGCAATTGGAGAAACAGGACCTCGATCTTTTCTTAACCATACAAATGACTCGGGGGCGCGGTTGTACATTAGCACTACAACGTATTTATGAATCGGACCTCGGTTTGGTGTCCAACCAGAACGATTAGACACTACTTTCTCAGAACTTCAGTGGGTATTTGCTCTTGAGAAATCACAGACATCTATTAGGCCATATAAAAAACATATTCCGATTCTTAGATAATCCATGTCAAGTAAAAAAGACTGCATATCCTGTGTTTATTTCAAAAAATAAAAGATAAAAACAGTTCATTTACTTATTTCGAGTAAATTTTTTACCCTGATTACAGGAAGCTACTATGTAAAAAGAAATTGAATTAATTCAAGTAGACAACCCTGATAAATGTTATGGATGATAATAAATGATACTGGAGAATTATATCCAGATAAATGTTATTGACAATAAAGAGAGAGAGAGAAATGGGGTTTAACTTCCACTCGACACAAACTAGGTCATTTCGGGACTAACATATGGTTTAATTTTTATTTCAATAATTCGCTTGCGCTTAGGGGTCTTTAGCAGTGGGAGGAAACTGGAGGACCCGGAGAAAACCCACGAGGATGGACTATTGACAATAATAAATGATACTGGATAATCATACACCAGTATAACCAACATGTTGAGATAAATGTGTCTTTATTTCAATAATTTGCTTGCGTGCGGTGTTCTTCAGCAGTGGGAGGAAAGCGGAGGACCCAGAAACGTATTAGCTAGGAAGCAAACCTACTGACAGTTGACCTACTGACAGACCTTATGATCTAAAGTGCATAGGTTAAACCATTTGGTCATCTAACCCTCCCTTAATATGAATTAATCAAAATCATATTCCCATTCCATCCCTATTTAATCTTTTAAAATAATAATCACTCACATACATTCATCTTTATAGACATGAAAACATATTTTCATTATATAAAAAATTCATACAAATAAACAATTTTATTAAAATATTATTACAGTTGAATTGATTATATTGTAATTGAAGCTATAATCAACATAATTGTTCCAATGATAGTTCTGTGTATTTTGACCAAAAATAAAAATGAAATGACCTTATTTTGTCAATGACCAAGATTCAATTCACTGTGCAGTCAAAGCAGGGTAAATAAAGGCTGTAACGAAGGAGACAGTAATAGAGTAGCTTACATTAAAACAATCAATGGAACACAACATAATTATTTCACATGTGTAAAAAGTGTCATGGTGTCATTCAATGAAAGAATATGGGTAATTATACTAATATAAAAAAAAGTCAATATTAGGCCATATAAAAAAATTATTCTGATTCTCAGATCATCATCCCACGTCACTTAAAAAGGATCACATCACATGTTTTTATTTCAAAAAATTAAAAATAAAAACAATCTCATTACTTAATTATCTCATGTAAATATATTTCCTCTGTTACAGGAAGATAAAATTTGAAGTGTAGCAACAAGCAACCCTGATAAATGTTACTGACAATCATGAATGACACTAGGGTAGATAATCCTACATTCCTATAATAAACAATATGATGAGATAAATGTGAAATGAAAATCCATTTAGCCCAGTAGTGACTTGATCCTTTGACAAAATAAAAACACAAAAATAAAAACCTCCCTCTTGCATCAGATTGTTTGGAAGGATTGTCTGAGAACTGGAATATTTTTTTGTAAAACCCTATTATACCTCTTATTATACCTATTATGGACAGGGTCATAACCCCCAAAATTTAAATATCTTAGAATTGATTGCAACTAAAACTGGAGGGTTTCACATGAAGGTCTATGAGATTTAATTACATGCAAATTGTATTTCTATGGTAAAGAAATAATATTGCATAGTTCTTATCTACAAGAATCATAATGAATCAATTGCAAATACAAAATTGTAAATGATTGAATATAGTAAATTCTAGCAAGGGATCACATAATTCATATTAAAAAGATAGGTTGCCAGACAACAAAACATACGCTCAAAGCAGCTAAATAATATATACATAGGGATGATGAATTCTGTCATTAGAGGGTTCACAATGTTCAACAAAGTAAAAAAAAAGGGCTTTTCTGATCTAACATACATGCTTTGACAATTTATCTATGTAGCCTCTCAGATCGCAGAATGAATATCTTTTAACAGTACCTACTTATGAACTTAAATCATTTGGACACAGAGCTTTCTCCTACAAAGTACCAACCCTATGAAACTCTTTTCCTTTAGGAATTAAGAATTCCAAGAGCTTGGAATCTTTCAAGTCACAATTAAAGCCATATCTATATACTTTATCATATTAACTTCTTCCAATATATGTGAAGAACAAACAATTATGCCATGGAATGATGGTATTATAAATACACATTATTATTATTATTATTATATTTATTATTATTTGGCCACCCAACCCCCCTTGTTTACAAAGAACAAATATGTGACAAGTTAGATAAAGAGAGGCCTTATAAGCTCTTTCACTTATGAGGCCCCTCCCAATCGCCCACCCTCACGACTAGATGAAGATAAAAGTGTTTGAGACACAATTGAGCAAAGTCGAGGATGACTGATGATGACACATGTGTAAGAAAGACTTGTCACAGTGTCAAAAATATAAAAGCCTGCCAAGCTTATAGGTAAATCCAGCACCGATTTAAGTAATTTTGTTTAAGTAATTTAAGTAAACAAATGTACATTATGCTGTTACGGATAATACTATTGGTATTTTGTTTGGTTATGAAAATAATCTGGATACATTTATATTAAATCGTATTGATCAGATTGTATTTCAACCATTGTATTAAGCCAATCGGATTAAATCACAGATCCTATTTCGTTTCGTTTTTTATAGTTTAAAATTTGTTTTTACTACACTAGGATCTGGAAGAGTTATTATATAAGCCTCATTCTGGTAAATGTGAGGGATTAGCCAATGAAATGGTCTGTTACGGCAAGTTCTTGACGTACTGTGCACAGAACTGTGGGTAAACCACTACAAACGTCAACGCTGGTTGATTAATCAATGGTTGATGTCATAGGGTCAAAAGTCGCTCGTATGACCCCTGACACAACCTTCGAGTACAACCGGTCAGATCTTCATGTAGTGTAGGCCATCGAAAATATAAAACAACAAAACAAAATATCTGTATTTTAATCAGATTGATTATGAGCTAAACTTTGAAATTGATGGAGGGAAAGTGGCACAAACTCTTTTAGACTAACAAATGTTAATATTTTATGTCCATGATTACCTTGACAATGGGTGGGAAGATAATTCAAATTGTAAAAATGTATAGTTTACAGGACACACATTTAGAGGACAGGAAGCGCAAGCACTTATTAACAGCTCAAATATGTGAATAAAAAATAAATTATTTATTACAAAACCATTGGTATTATATCGAGCTAGTCATTACATTGTCCGGGCTGTCCATTGACTGATCTGATTCTGTTGGTTTTCTAAAGTGTAGTCGTTTTCTAGCCTGATTTCTTAATGCCGAGTTTAAACCGGATGCTCCCCACATCCATACAACTTCAGGGATCAGATTTGCTATCCAGGACTGAAATGAGAGAAATGTGAAAGAGCTTCAATTAATTATTATTGCAATGAGGTATAAATTCAGTTATCTTGATTAATTATTACAATGAGGTGTAAATTCAGTTATCTCGATTAGTTATTACAGAGGTGTAAATTGAGTTATCTCAATTAGTTATTAAAATGAGGTGTAAATTCAGTTATCTCGATTAGTTATTACAATGAGGTGTAAATTCAGTTATCTCGATTAGTTATTAAAATGAGGTGTAAATTCAGTTATCTCGAAGCCAAATGTATAGTCTATCAGTTCTGAGTTGATACGAGTGAACTACAGAGAACGAGGGACTTGATGCTATTAATATTTAGACATATTTTTCTATGGTCGCCTGTTTGTGACTAATTTGGGATGCCTGACTTGAGACTTCAATTAATATAATATACACTGTACCTGAGTTAATTAGCAGACTAATAGTATATATATTTATAGTGGCATTAAAAGAGATTATGGGAGATTAGATAAAGAGTTAACTGTTCTCGCTATATTAGTTAAAAAATAGATAACATAAATAGATAATAGAATATGTTAAAAATTAAAGATATTAGCTTTTTAATTTTGAGACTAGCCTCGATCATCATTACTAAAGTCGGTATGATAAAAAACATAGTCTTGATTATCCATTTTTGGATTTAATCATCAATGAGCGCTGAGTAGCAGATCAGATTCAAATCTAGTGAAAATCTGACACATAAGATGGTTTGGAGAAGTTAATTAATGTCTAATTAATAGTTTATATAACGTTTCAAGCCCAAAGAAAGCCCTGCAATAGGCAGATTTAGCTCTTGCATAATGTATGTTTAATCAGAGTTAAGATAAAACATATTGCCATTTTGGACTTGTGACGCTTAAGTAAGTCATAATTTCTTTGGTAGACGGTGTTTTACAAGTACATTTTAATTTGAAAATGAAATATTTAGTTATTTGAGATTTGACCCACACCACACTTATAATGTAAAAGATATATATATGCACTTACCAGAATAGCATGTGGCCAGTAACCTGTAGAAATGGGGACCCGCCCCAATGTTTTTACAGCATTCCTGGCATAAATACTAGCCGATGGTATCCATAAATTAGGATTTGATAACGTTTCACTGTAGTCAGTCATTTTAGTAGCCACATAAAAAGGTTTTAAACATTGGATAACCACACCTTTATGTCTGTACTCGTATTGCAGGGCTTTCGTTAAATAATCCAAATAACTCTGCAAATAATTAGAAAAAAAATCAGACACAAATGTTATATAATTAGCTCATTCAAATCATAAGGTCTAGTTAATCTAAATGAAATGGTTTAATGTCTTATTTTTCTGCACCATCTTTATTTATTAAAAGTTGTATCTAGTTGTTTGGATGGGACAGAAAACCAAGTTCCTGTATATACCACTACATAGCGTATTCCCATATAATAATAAGTAAATGGGAATACGCTATGTCATGTGCTGAGAAACACTTTGCTACAACCTACTCTTATTTCCATTTCAGGGGATCTTTAACATGCTCTCAATGGTATATACAGGAACTTGGTTTTCTGTCCCATCCGAACAACTAATACAACTTTTGATAAATAAAGATGGTCAAATTAGAAAATACTTCTTTCAGTGATGAAATGAAAATCGATAATAAAAGATAACAGTGGAACATTTTTAAAAAGCGCACATGAGAGTACCATCATTGAATCTTTGCATTTAATAAACTTAGTGAATGACATCCATTAAGTTGTCTGTATCACACACACCCACTGGTTGGATTTAAAAACGAGTTAATGCAAACTATTGATGTTTGTGTTGTTACCTTAGTAGCTGCATAAACTGTCATTTGTGGAGTTGTTTTAGTACAGGCACCAGATGAAACCATAACAATAGCTCCTCGTCCCCTATAATACAAATAATGGTGTTAGATTGAAAGGAACTGAAATTTAAAGTCCTACTGTTTTGCATCGACCAGGCTAATGAAGATAGAATAATAGTTACTGGGTAATTTATAACACAAATAGTTTCATATTATAAGGTGTAAATATAATTAAATGGGATTTAACGTCCTAGTTCTCTTCAAAAACCAGGCCAGGATAATGACGATGGACATACATCACTCAGTGTGCTATAGAGGAAATTTTTGCCCAGACAGCTGACAATTGACATACATCACACAGTGTGCTATAGAGGAAATTTCGCCCAGACATTTGATGATGGCCATGTATCACGCAGTGTGCTACAGAGGAAATTTTGCCCAGGCAGCTGACAATGGCCACGCAGCGTGTTATGGAGGAAATTTTGCCCAGACTGTTGATGATCGCCATGCATCATGCTGTGTGCTATAGAGGAAATTTTGCCCAGACAGCTGACAACAGCTATGCTTTTCCTTTCCAGGACCACTGACATTGGGAAACCAGGCTGGAAAATGTCAAGAGAATTTCTAGGCCAACACAAGAATCTAACCTGGGTCTCCTCGCTACTGAGCCAGCGTTGAGCCACTGTCTGGTTTAGAAGAAGTACATATTTATTTATCACTTATATTCTATACCTTTACAAAAAAAAAATGGCACACTATGTGGTCAGCACCTATTAACGATTCTTAATGTGATGGCAGACAGATAAAATATAGATATATTAAACCTCTTAGGATCACCCCCCGACATATATATACTCAGCACCAAATATGTATTTTCATGAATAACTGCTTAAAGGGAGTGAAATATCAATGTTTGTTAGTTGCATCGTGAGCCATACTCCTCGCAGTGTTTTGTTTAATTAGAGCTATTCCCACTGAACACTGCTTTAATGGAAGCAAATTTCTGTTCCAAATTATGACTGGTCAATAGTCCGATTAACAACCAATAGCTAACTGCGTAACAATATGATTACGCTTTAAACAAAGCTCCAAATTGGACCAAATATGTTTATTACATAACATTACGTCACGACCCACGATTTTATTATTCCCAATTAACCAGTGCATAGCAGAATATTGTAGAAATATTAATTCCGTGACAAACGAGGCTATCGACACAGATACAATGTAAACAATACTGTATGTAGACGAACAAGACTTTCGCCATTTTTAATACCTTAAATCACTGTCCAAAGTTTCAGGGAAGACCCCAGATTAAACTGTCAGAAGAATAGACACACTCCCTCAAAAGCTCAAGTATCAAAAGCCAATCCAGCAATGGGCAGAGAGGGATTTCTCAGGCCATTGCTTCAGGAATATGATCGCGAGCAAACATCGATAAATTTGTCCATCGCTGAAAAATCTTTAATACAAATTTTGTAAACGTGTCATTTTGTACCAAGTTACCAACATTATATTGTCTACTGATAATATTTGTCCATTTTGTGAAGAAAATCCATTAATACTTTTTATTTTATAAAATATCCAAGTTGGAGGATGTAACCTGCTCAAGGGAATTTCTTGTCTTTTTTAGGGTTTTGACACTGCGTAGCTTGTGTGAAACACTATTGTTTTTGTTCGGATTATTATTCTTATTATTATTATTTTTCCATTTGAGTATATCTCAGAAAATACTTATCGGATCGATTCGATGTCTTTGGTTTTACTGGGAAAGTGGGTTTGACTTAAATTTTAAAGCTATTTCTAACGTTCTGCGACAATGCGAAATGTCCGAAATCACCAAAGTTGTCGTTTTTCGAAATTTTGCCTTAATGTTATCAATAATTGTCGGATTGTAATATTTGATACATTTTGACATAGCCGGAAACAATGCACATAGCAACAGTTCTTTAGATTTTTTATTTTCGACGAATCTTCGGAGATATTAGGCGCCAAATTTTGAAAATTTAAATTTTTACGAAAAACTTTTTTATTAGGCAATGAATATTTTTATGTGGTATTTTACCTAGGGTTAAAGAGTCATCTGATTTGACCAAAAATTGCAACATTTTTTGTCACCGTATATTTCCTTGGCCCCCATTGGCTAATTTAGTTTTTCAGTCCTGGATTAATTATTTATTGTTTGATTTGTATAAAACAAAGTTCATATGCTGGTGGTCCTAAATGTCATTCTTTTTGTTACCGGTAAAGATGCCTTTCGGCAACGGAAGTGACGTAAATTTAGCAAAAACTGTAATTTTGACAGTTCGGTACCACTTTTTGAAAGCAAATATTATTTTTTTCAAATCTGGTATGACTGAAAGGGTGTGCCCTGTAAAGGCGCCGAAATCTTTGCGCTCAGTTTTTTAAATTTTTATTTCGTTTCCGGATCATTTCGATTTAAAGGTGAAAAAATGAGCTATTCACAACCCATTCAGGCTTTTCATATTTTAAAATATTTCTTCACAACTTTCATAAACTAGTAGCAATAATCCATATGAAGAGAATGTATGTGAAAATTAGTTTGTAATATGAGCAGTTGCCGAGAAATGGGCAAATTTGCATGAGTCACTTTTTATGCTAGTTTGCCTGTAAAAGAGTCAATTATTATTCGATTTTCATAAAAGTGACACCATTTGATGCGTAATGTCAATTTTAACTAGGTCAAACCAATTTAACATTTTCAATGTCACCGTAAATGACGTAATTTGGGCAAAAATTGTATTTATAGCCTTCAAAACCAGTAATTTATTCAAATGAGTCGTATTTCTTATTTGTTTAAAATTTTGATATTTGATTCCAATCAACTAATAGAATGACCCCATACGATCATATAGATATCACAAAATGGTTTCTTACTTGTTCAGTTGCGGAGAAATAGACGATTTACAACAGGTAACTTTTCAAGGTTTTTGGTCCATAAAAGTGTCAATTATTATTCGATTTTCATAAAATTTCCAGTGTGTGATACCTAATGCCATTTACGATTTCACAGAAGTAATTTAACACTTTTACTGTCACTGAAAGTAACAGCATTTTGGCAAAAACTGTATTTTAGCCTTCAAAACAGATATTTTATTCAAATGAGTCTGATTTGTATTGTTTTTAAAATTATGATATTTGATTCCAATCAACAAATAGATTGAACCCACACGTTTATTAAGATACCAAAACATGGTTTCTAACTTGTACGGTTGCAGAGAAATAGACGATTTTCTACAAGTCACTTTTCAAGGTTTTTGGTCTATGAAAGTGGCAATTATTATTCGATTTACATAAAATTTTCACCATGTGATGCTGTATGCCATTTCTGATGTCATAAAACAAATTTAACATTTTCGTTATCACCGGAAGTAATGTAATTTTGTCAGGATTACTTACATGTAACAAATGTATACAATGAATTGATATTGCTAGATTTGGTTGATTCTGCGTACATTTTAATTGATGTGTGCAATGCTTATGTAAACCTGTACCGGAAGTGACATATGTTCAAGGGTAACGGGGCACCGGTGAAACCCGTCATTACTGTGTCGCAGTTCTAGTTCATCTTATAATTATAACAACTTACCTTTTAAGCATGTCAGGTAATATCATATGGGTCATCTGTAATACAAATAATTTATACATTAATTAAACACATAATTGGCATCATCAGGAAACAAAAAGAAGAGGGGTTAGAATAAGACCATTTTAAACCATGATAAATTACAACCTAGGCGGGTTCTGGATTCTAAATTGTCAGCCCACAATGTTCTGAATTGACAGAATTGCAATTGAGTATCACAGACTTGAGGTGTTATGATAAGACCATTTTAAACCATGATAAATTACAACCTAGGTGGGTTCTGGATTCTAAATTGTCAGCCCACAATGTTCTGAATTGACAGCATTACACAGACTTGAGTATTGTCACGATTCTGCCAGTTCCGAAAAAAAACAAATGAGGGGTAAGCATAATCCCAATGTACAAGAAGGTCTCTCGTGTGTGTTCAATTGACACTTTTCGAAATATTGAGAGAACTCAATTTCTGAATGTTCAATCAAATCTTCCCATAATCTTGTACTAGTCTTGGTACTGAATTTACACATGGGTTATCTATAATTCTACACAGTAAAAATACTGATTTCAGTGTATTTAAATGATTGATCAATTGATGTATTTAGACTGTTTATTAACAAACTATCATCAGAGAGTAGAGACTAATTCAGGCCATTATTTTTTTGATTTTCAAATTTGAAATGAAATGAAATTGGGTTTAACGTCCTACTGTTTTGCTCCGAATTGGACTAATGAAAATGGGCATACGCCATACAGTGTGCTATGAGGGAAATTTTGCCCGGACAGCGGCACTACGGCCTACTCTTATATCGAATTCCAACTGTCAAGGGATCTTTTACGTGCACGCCAATGTGTACACGGGACCTCGGTTTTTCGTCCCATTCGAATGACTAGCCAGCTGTCCTTGTCAGGCCCTCTGTCCTGCATCACTGACAAGGGGGAAAACTGCCGGAAAATCTGGATGAACTTTCTCCGCCAATGCAGGAATCGAACACCCGACCTCCAGGCCAGTGTCTTACCCACTTAGCCACCGTGACCCCCTATCAAATTTGAAAAGAGACCTTGAAAATGCAATACATACAACATCTGGTATTATATATAAATGACGACAAAACCCCAAGAAAAAATAAAATGGACAAAAATGTAGGTCGATTTGATGATAATTTGACAAAAGACACTGACTTACCATTGTAGCTGTTGTACAATTAACATTTATTAATTCTATTAGTTTCTGAAATTATATAAAAACTTCTAGTTTAATTTCTGTCTTAACATACAAAACTCAACAAAGACGTGTTGTCATTTCTCACAAGACAAATCCATAAAAATTGTATATTAGAGAGAGAGATGGGGTTAACTTCCACTCGACATAAACTAGGTCATTTCGGGACTATCACATGATTCAATTTTATTTCAATAATTTGCTTGTGAGTAGGGGTCTTTAGCAGTGGGAGGAAACCAGAGGACCTGGAGAAAACCCACAAGGTTGGTGAGACGACCCTACTCCTTGTCACGTACAACCAGGGAATCGAAACCACGCCAGTTGACTCAATGACAGATCTCATGATACAGCGTGCATGTCCTAACCATTCGACCATCCAACCCCCCCATACACCACAGTGACCATTAGATAGAACCCAAATACATTTGTCATGAATGTAATGTTATATTTTATTTTAACTGTAGTACATGTATAAATATGACCCAGTGGGACCACAGTAACTTAGCGAGGCAAATGTAGACACAATTTCTTCAAAGAATACAAATCTATTTTGAGAAATTATTATACACCTGACAAACAATGACCATTGTTCACTACTGAACCAAAAATATAAATGTTAACATATTTACTAATCTTGTTAAAAATATTTTCATGCAAGTTATAAAACCTGAGTTACTTCCCATTAAATGATTTGTTATAAATCAAATAATTCAGCAACTCCTTACGTTAATTGCTATATTCTTTTATTTTTTTTTTAGAATAGATTATATACTATTCAAAAAAAGTAGGGGATATTTGATTTTGGGGGCATAATACTAAAATATGCAAATGACTACGAAAAAAGTCACTATAGAACCTAACAGAAGAAACATTTCCAGTTACATGTGACGCCCAAACGCACCAATAGCTACCGCATGGAATGCAGGTGATGCTTGGGATCATCATGGGGGTCCAACCCAAGATTTGCACGACTCTGACTTTGAATGTTACAGTCATTGTGGCATTGAATTCCAGGGTAGAAACATCAGTTTAATTGTTTTAGTGACCAGAAAACATATTTTGATATGCGTCGGCTTACCCAAAATGAAAGGTTACGTGCCCTTGGCATGCTACAGATCGGCACAACACAGGCGGTTGTGGCGCGGACGATGAATGTTTCTCAGTCTGTCATAAGCAAGCTATGGTCCAGATACCGTGATACACAATCTGTACAGGACAGACCACGCTCAGGTCGACCAAGGGCGACAACTCAAGCCCAGGATCGATTTATCCGTACCTTGGCCTTGAGAAATCGTGTCATCACAGCAAATCAGATCAGCGCTCGTCTTCAAACAGACACTGGTGTGAGAGTGAGTGGCCAGACGATTCGGAATCGACTGCATAGGGGTCACCTTCGCGCCCGACGTCCTCGCGTGATCCCTTGTTTGAGAGATCATCACATTCAGGCAAGACGTCGATGGTGTAGGGATCGTCAACACAGACGTAGGAGGGTGTGGCGTCGTCGAAACGAGCGCTTCCAAGACGTTAACGTCATCAGACATGATCGATTTGGGGGTGGTTCTGTTATGGTGTGGGGAGGCATCACTGTTGCTGGAAGAACGGCTTTACATGTTGTTGCAGGGCGTGTTACAGGCCAGTACTACCGGGACAACATCTTGGCAGTCCATGTTGTGCAGAGGTTACGTCAACGTCAACAACGTCCTGCCAATGTCCAAGAACTTGCTGCTGCGTTGCAACAGGAATGGGACAATCTGGACCAAAATGACCTTAGACGTCTCATTAGGAGTATGCCACGTCGGATCAATGCTTGTTTGGCAAACAGAGGAGGATTTACCCGTTACTGACTTGGTTGTGATGCTGTGGTAACTTTGCTGTTTGACCCCGGGTATCATTTTACCCTTATAATGGTCAGTCTGTGCCTTACTTAGTCTAACGATCATTTGGAATAAATCGATGAATGTGAACTTCATTTCATTTTGTCATTTGTTTCTTCGTCAGTTTCATTATGTGACTTTAATAACACTTAAAAATCAAATATCCCCTACTTTTTTTGAATAGTATATTCATGTATACCGTAAACACCGACATATAATACACACTTCTTCCCCTGGCCAGTTCCCCCCCCATTGGGACTAGAGGTGTGTGTTATTGAAGGGAATAAATGTACAAAAGAACCTGCAGAATTTTATCCATGGATCACTCTTCCACATGTGCATCAGTTGTGAACAGGGCTTGTTTTTTTTGACACATCCTAACGAATTATAGCCCACAGGTATATCCACACAACTAATGTGATCAAGAAATTGGTCATTAATTACTACAGGCAGAAGCATTACCTTTTCTGGAACATCCAAAAAATACTCTGGAAATTCATACATTATGCCAACATTATTTACTACAAATAAACAAAAGACCCATGTAGCTAAATATTTATGAATATATAGTTGTCTCAGCATTTCTTATATTTTGTAAACATTAGTTTGTCTTGGACTATATTAACACATATCATAAAGTCGGCGATTTTTTTTCAACAAAGTGTATATGCAGATGTTAGCCAAAATCTATATATTGTCTTTTTATCATGCCAAACTTTTATAAATATAATTTATTATACCAGGCGCACATAAATATAGTTTTTTTTATGCCAGGCGCTTACAGATATATACTCAGCCAAATTAAAAACTTGACACTCAGGATTTTTGGGACTAGATTTTTAATATTTGGTTTAAGGCAACTATTTTAGTGTTATGTTGTGCACAGACGACCTTGACATCAACAGAAAGCAAGAATACGTCTCGCCGAAAGTCCTTGACATTGATAACGTTCGTGATGTCACAGTACCCCCCAAAATAAAAAACCACAGAACAATCGGAATAAAGTGTTTAGTAACGGTTGTGGCCTCCTCTAGCGTCTCGTACTGCCACACAACGTCTTCTCATGGATCTCAGAACATTAATAAACACTACCCGAGGAAGACGTCGCCACTGCTCAGCAAGAGCATGTTGAAGGTCCTGCAACGTCAGTGGTGGATTCACTTGCTGACGAAGACGTCGACCCAGTTCGTCCCAGATGTGTTCAATAGGATTAAGGTCGGGGCTAAGCGACGGCCAATCCAGGACTTGGACACCGGCATTTCTTTAAAAATTCTGGGTAGCAATTGCTGTATGGGGCCGAGCATTGTCTTGTTGAAACGTTAGTCCAGGCCCATGTCTCTGCATAAACGGAAGAAGAACAGGTTGCAAAATCTGATCCCTGTACTGGTTAGTATTTAAGTTCCCTTGGACAACAACAAGCGGAGAACGTCCATGTGCACAAAAAGAACCCAAACCATGACGCTGCCGCCACCAAATCGGTCAACTTCTCTGACGCATACTTGAGCGTAACGTTCACCCCGTCTGCGGTACACTCAGACCCTGCCATCGGCAAATCTCAAAGTGAATCGAGATTCGTCACTAAAGACAACCGAATTCCACTGTCTTTGAGTAAATCTTATGTGTCTTGTGGCCCACACAAGTCGGTTAAAGCGATGAAGAGGTGTCAATTTTGGTCCATTATAGGGCCTCCGAGCTCGAAGACCAGCAGTCTGCAAGCGATTTCGAACAGTTTGTGCAGTTACCCTTCCACCAAACATCTCTCTACTTGTGGAGGCTGCAGTGAAAAATCTGTTTCTAAGGAGACGTAATCGTATTGCTTGATCTTCCTGGAGTGACGCCACACGTGGCGCTCCCACCCTTGGGCGGTCGGCAATAGTTCCAGTTTGAAGCACTCTCATTCTAAGATTAATTATTGTCTGGCGTGAACAATTAAAGGCTCTTGCAACAGTGACCACAGACTGACCAGCATAGAGCCTACCTATAGCACGTAGACGTTATACATTTGAAAGTCTCGGCATTTTCTAACAAAAATGAAAATAACAATTTTAATTTGTTTTTCCAGTTCAAGTTACGTGTTCAGTTTAAGCAAACTTGCATCGATTGACCTCACGAGTTTGTGTTTGCACGTGTTTTTCAGGTTTTTCATCGTTATATGCTCAAAAGTCTCGTGATCCACGTGACTTTACAATTTTATGAAATTAAAGGCTTCTTACTACTTACTATCGTTAGAAACACTTTAAAATTTATTTGACTTACCAGAAAAAAAAATTTGTTGAAATTCATCAGTGTCAAGTTTTTAATTTGGCTGAGTATAGTTTATTATGCTAGACATTTATAAATATAATTTGCTAAGCCAGACATTTATAAATATAATTTATTATGACAGATATTTATAAATATAATTTATTTGGACAGATATTTAAAAGTATCATTTATTATGACAGATATTTATAAATATCATTTATTATGACAGATATTTATAAATATCATTTATTACGACAGATATTTAAATTAATATAATTAAGCCAGACACTACAAATATAATTTTCTGAGCCAGACATAATCAAGCATGTCCAATTTCAAATATACACTAGATTTCAATTTAAAAGTTTTACCTAAAATTCCTATTTCTTTATCATCTAATACTTCACGGATTTTTTCATAAACACCTTCTGTTTTGGCAAAATCTACAGCTATTGTACACGTCTGAACATCAAATAGACGACCTGCAATAGATTGCTATGTTACATCTATCTATTCATCAATGAAAGTGAAAGCTAACCTTTTGTCGTAAAATTAAATAAAAGACAAAAATTAATTCATTAATACCTTTGTCTCCCAAAGCATTTAATTATAAGTTAAGGAAAGCTCATATTGCTGGGCATTAAATCTTGAAATAAATTACTAAATAGAAACAGAACTAACGAATTTCTTTTTCTGCATTATATAGACGTTTCTGTCCTCGACTAATAAGAATAATATTCATTCCTCGACTTGCTAATTCCTGGGCATAAGCTCTTCCAATACCATCACTACCGCCAGTTACCACTGAAAATATAAATAAAATAGACCCCACTCAAAGCGAAATGAAAAAAAATAATAGGTGGATTCAGTAAGGAAATAAATTTCACATGCTTGATATCAGTAGGATCTTGGTTTGAAAAATGTCAGTTTTAGGATTTTAATAAATATGGGGGGAAACCCTGTTACCACTTGCATCAATCAAATGAAATATCAGTAGTTCTACAGAGAATCTCACTACATATCTAACAAAATTTTGATCCACAGAAACCATATTGTAGCTGGTTCAGAAATAAAATTGGTAATTTCGGTGCATTTCATGACAACATGCAAATCAAACGGAATAAATGACCAAACTTTTCTGCAACCAATTGCCTCTTATCTTACTTTGCAACTGTCATGGGATCTTTACTGTGCTGTCAATGGCATAATCCTGTCGCTCAGGACTTTTTCTGAATTCGTCCATGGCCATTTTTATTTTAATGATTTATTAAGGGTTTAAACTGTTTTACTATTTGGTTATATTTTGTAAATACCCCATTTGATGGCACCCCAGTAAAGGAGAGGAATGCAGAGGGTCAGTCGGGGCGGACGTTGGGTCAACATTTAATTTAAAGTTCATTCTAGAAATTAAAAAAGGGAAGTAACTCCATTTAAGAATGCAAAATAAAACCAGCTGTAAGTTTACTAGAGATAATGAATGGGTTGATAAGACTTATAACTGCATGGGTTTAATCATCCATCTGTTTTCTACAAAATATTGCATATTACTTATTACAGTAAATAAGTCATATACATGTATACATTTTAAAACAATATGACGAAATATGTTTACCTGCCCAAATTCCAAACTGAACACGAAAATTGCGCTTCTCGTGTAATTGCGATAACAGATTGTCCGTGACGCCATTAATAATATAATGGGAAATACTATAAGCCTTTTTAAGTGCATAATATGTCCCTATTAAAGCTAAACCATCCCTGTAGCACGAGAAAACAGCTGATATTTCCTTGAAGAGGAAATGAAAACTATCAATCGACGCCATGATTGATGACTTTCCTACCTCCTTTGATAAATTATCATAGACGCGATCATACTAGTACATTTTCAGTTTTCGGGCTATTTTTTCTGATTAGATGAAATGAAATGACATGGGGTTTAACGTCCTACTGTTCTGCTCCTATACTGGGCTAATGAAGACCAGGAGCAGAACAGTAGGACGTTAAACCCCATGTCATTTCATTTCATTTAATCAGAAAAAAATAAGCCATATGGTTGATTTGTGGGGCCCATAATTGCTATTTATAATTATGTATGAGTATGTATGAGTAATTAAATCATTAAAATTAATGGCCGAACCGTTCTGATTTACTTAAAATCAGAGCCATCGAGGGTTGAGTTTGGTCTTGTCATGTTAATAAATGTCTAATTAATAATTTATATAACATGTCATTTAAGGCCCATAGAAAGACCCGCAATAGGCAGATTTACCTCTTAAATAATGCCTGTTTAATGGAGCTAAATCGCTAACATTTTGGACCTAGAAATTGACAAAAGTGGGTCGCAACGCATATAATACTGTAATATGAATGTATATAAACTGATTTACATTCAATGGTTTCCGTTTTTACTCCAATTTGAAATCAGTTATGTTCGGCGAAATAAGCCAGCAGTCTCAAGCGAGTGCAAATTTCTAGCGTCTGGTTATTCCAGTCTACATACGCCGTTTGATATGGTGCAATGTGTCTAGCCTCGTCCCTCGAGTCTCTTGATACAACTGGGGCTGAAGCGCATTATGGTACACGATTCGTGTACCAATGGTAAAATGTTTATTTTGTCTTAAATATTGGATATCAAAAGCCCATCTTTTCCCGGTAATATCACAACATGAATGTTGGTGTAATTTGACAAATAAATCGTGTTTTCAATGTTGAAGATTTTTGATGATATTGAGTTAGAGACTTAGCTCCTTTAATTATAATTGACAAAGTTGTTTTCTATAGCTACAGATACACAGTGACAGGAATACCCTTTAATACCTATATTAATTGTGTCCAGTCTATTCCAAATTTTAGCTTTATTTCTTCCCACTTGTTGCTAAATCATGTCATATTTACTATCAGCTCGAAGATAGCTCCATATATTCTTTTTTTTTTAAGTTGCCTTACCAGTCGCCACAATATCTGTTCAAATCATTGATTTTTTTAGTCCGATATTGTCAAATTTAAGACAAGGTAGTTATCGTTTGAAATATCTCGGTAATCATTAGGGTTTATTGATTTCCAAATTAAAGACAAAATACACACCCTTGTCACATATCCCATCGAAGAAGGAATTTTGTTGGAGATGTCATTACTGAAATTAATTTATAGAAACCCTTTTTAATACGAGAGACACCAGGGGTGCGTTATACTGGGTAGCTACCGTGTTAAATCTATATATCAAAAACATAAATTACTGTTGAATTCACCTGAAATTTTGACGCACCACCAGGGATGGCCCGATAAAGTAAGGGGTCAAAAATTCCTTCCTACCAGTACTGTGTGTGCGTGTGTATTCGAGATAGGGTGGGGCGGGGTCTTTCTTAATAATAATAAAAATATAATTATAAAAGATACAGTTCTAAATGTCTAATAATATGTTAGTAGAACATTTTGTCTGGACACGGAAAACACTTTTAGAATTTTATTTAAATGAACTACACGTCATGCTCGATCTCAGCTATTTGTCCGGTTTAAACGACGAAAGGGGTGGATAGAGTAATGCATGCAGCTCAACTAATTACTATAATTAAAAGCGTGAATTAGAATTAAAATTTGGTACCTTTCAATCAATATTGATGTAATTGTTATCATGCCGTGAAAATAAATGATCCCAATATCCAATTTTTAAGACGCAGTGAACATTCTGAAATCACTCCACGGGTCGTGTAGGCTAAGGTTTCGGACGCCCTTTGTAATGAACAAAGCAAAACTTATCCCACAAGACAATGTGGAAATAATTAGTAACGAGTGATTTACAAACGACAAAATAACAATAAAAAAAAACCGTGTAGAATGGACTACCGTTCAATTTCACGGAACATAATTGATTATAAATAACAATCAGTTTGTTTTTAAATTGTATATAAATCACTTTATATACATTCATATTATATTCATTTTCGTCTAGAGTGTAACGCTTCGATCTCTGGTTGGTCGGTCACCTCTGGCTTGCGGTTGTGGTTTCGGTCCCTATAGTGTAACGGTTGTGGCTTGGAGATAGGGGCCCTTTCTCAACCTTGTGGGTTTACTCCGGTTCCTCCCACAGAAAAGACCCCTGCTGTGCATGCTCTTAAGAAAATAAAAATGAAAAAATAAGACTTGTCTGCGATATCACCTTCGGTGGAAGCGGACGTTAAACACTAAGAACAACAAAGAGCCATCACCCGTTAATGACAGGTAAATTCGTTACTGTATACGCATGATCAACCTACTCGAATGAAAGGGTTTTTTTTTCCTACGTTAGTTTGATAAGTGTTTAGTATGGTGGCTGATTGGTATGTCGTTATGTCGTGATGTCGCCCTTCGTAAATCGACAGCCCGAACCCACCATCACGACATTTGTACCCGACACCACGACAAGCCGACATCATGACATCACGACATTTTAACCCGACATGACGACTATACGTTATCCCTTGTCATGCCCCCCCCCCCCCTCGTCCTTGATCACTGTCAAAGAGGAACCACTCCCGAAAAGGGGTTTAATGTCCTACTTTTCTGGGAGTCACGGTAACTCAGTGAGCAAGACGTTGGCTCGCGAACGTTGAGGTCCAGTGTTCGATCCCTGCGTTGGCCGCGAAAGCTCATCTGGCGAGGGATAACGTATAGTCTTTTGGATGGGACAAAAAATCGATGTTCCGTGTACATATAAGCTGGCACGTAAAAGACCCCCTGACAGTTGGAATTCAATATATAAGAGTAGGCCGTAGCGCCGCTATCCGGGCAAAGTTTCCCTCACAGTACACTATTTAGCATATGCCCATCTTCATTAGCTCAGTCAGAGCAGAAGACAGAAGAGTAAACCCAATTTCATTTCATTCAATTTTCCTACTTTTCTGCGCCAATCGTGCCATTGAAGGAATGTTTTATGTGCACGCCAATATGTATAAAGGAGATTGTTTTTTTTTTGTCCTATCTACACAACTAGATACTGTTCTTTGTCCGCCCCTTTGCCCTGCACTACCGACAGGGAGAAACCACACTGCAAAATCCCGGGGAACTTTCTTGACCAACACCAGATTTCCGATAACCCGACACCACCACAACCCGGCATCACGACAATACGACATTTTTACGGGTTAAAATGTCGTGATGTCGTGGTGTCGGGTTAAAATATCATGATGTCGAGTTGCCGCGTTGTCGCCTTATGAAGGGCGACACCACGACATCACGACATGATACCAACAAGCCACCATAGTTTTCGTTTGTTTTTCTCGGGGTTTATTTGTGGAGGGAGAAGGGAAATGATATTCAAACAATACATTAACTTATATACAATATGAAAAGATCACAAAACCAATAGTATAGCTTTAATAATTTGACGTCACTGCTCATTGTACACACTAAGTAGGGAAGGAACACACTGATCCGCAGTGAATATTTGCTCGGCCGCGACAATACGAGACTCGTAATTCTCTGTGAAACAGATTGGGGAAGGAAGTGCCACAACTTCCTAGGTAGTGCCAGAACCTATTAAACGTACGAAAAGCCCACACAAATCTTACAAATAGTTGGGGTTTTCTGGTATTGCGAGGAAATCCAATTACAGTAATCAGCACACCCTTCGAAAAACTTAACAAAGTGTCTATATTTAATTATATGAAATGTAATGGGTTTAACGTCCTACTGTTCTGTGCCCCACCGAGCTAATGAAGTCGGTATATTTAATTATAACCCATTATATTAATAAGTAATGTTTGGTGTCATAAGATCTTTACTCTTATTTGTATTCACACCTCGTACAACTTCTTTAATCTCGTTTATTTAGTAAAAAAAAATATATATTTAAAAAATGGTTACCTCTTGTGAAATGAAATGAGGTTTGACATCCTACGTACTTTTCTGCACTCGTCAGTGGGTCATCTTAAAAGTCGAGTGGTCTAACCTGTGCGCTTTAGATAAACAAGGTCTGTCGTTGAGTCAAGGTACCTCGTATGGTTCTCTCATTCCGCCAACACTACTAAGAATCACCACGTGCGAGATAATTATTGATATAAATTTCTACCATAATTATATCTGTCCTGAAATGACCTATTTTGTGTCGTCGAGTGGACGTTAAACCCCGTGTCTCCCTCCTTCTCTCCCTTATATACCAAAAACCATAATTAAATACGACCAATTTCTTATTAGTAAAAGAAACAAACAACTTTTAGTACATATTCTCATCAAGATATTTGAAAGATTTTTTTAAGACATATACCCTGGAATAATAATTATACACCCACGTCCGTCCGTCTGTCTGTCCGTCACACTTTTTGGGGATACAATAACTCTGCCCCTAATCGATCTAGAGTTTTCAAACATGATGTAGGTCTTTTTTAGGTGACAGCCTTGACTGAAGCCTTGACTGAGTTCGATGATGAGCAATTTCTGCTTAGGCTAAGCAGAGGTACGCAATTTGATTGGTCGATGCTTTGGGACACGATAACGTGCTATAGTCAGTGATGAAACTTGGTGTATAGTTTCATTACATCAATTCCATGACTAAGTTTAATAAGGAGCCATTTCGGCTCAGGTTAAGCAGAGTGAGAAACAATTTGATTGGTCGAGACTTTGGAGCTCGACAACTTTTATTCCATCAGCACCTTGATTAAGTTCAATAATGAACACTTTCTGCATCGATGTTTTGGGACATGATAACCTTGATTCCAACTGAGTTTCATTACATCAAACTCGAAGTATAGTGCATCAATACCTTTACTAAGTTCGATGATGAGAAATTTGATTGGCCGAGACTATGGAGGTCGACAACTTTGATTTTAATTAAGTGAGAATGGTGAAACTTGGCGTATATCATTACATCA